AACCCGTACATTTTTGTCCTGTATGGGCTCCATAAGTGTTTTTCAGGGAATCCATTATTTTTCTAGTAAGATTGGATATTTCTACTTTCCATATATACCAAAATTGACATACTTTTATTGAAAACTAGCAGGATACTCGGGGGTCATAACTTCGAAACCGGAAGTGGTAGACTAACGCCACCTGGCCTAAGTTACTCCCCGGTCCGAGCTACCCCTATACCCCAAATATCAGACTCGGGACAGACCTAGTGTAGCTGCCAACCCCGAACAGACCGGCTTCGCTCGGGGGTCATAACTCCGCAACCGGAAGTGGTAGACTAACACCACCTGGACTGTGTTACTCCCCGATCCGAGCTACCCCTATACCCCAAATTTCAGACTCGGGGCAGACCTAGTGTAGCCGCCAACCCCGAACAGACAGACATCGCTCAGGGGTCATAACTCCGAAACCGGAAGTGGTAGACTAACGCCACCTGGCCTATGTTACTCCCCCGTCCGAGCTACCCTTATACCCCGAATTTCAGACTCGGGACAGACCTAGTGTAGCCGCCAACCCCGAACAGACCGGCTTCGCTCGGGGGTCATAACTCCGAAACCGGAAGTGGTAGACTAACGCCACCTGGCCTATGTTACTCCCCGGTCCGAGCTACCACCCCAAATTTCAGACTCGGGGCAGATGTAGCCGCCAACCCCGAACAGACAGACTTCGCTCGGGGGTCATGAATCCGAAACCGGAAGTGGTAGACTAACGCCTCCTGGTCTATGTTACTCCCCGGTCCGAGCTACCCCTATAACCCAAATTTCAGACTCGGGGCAGACCTAGTGTAGCCGCCAACCCCGAACAGACCGGCTTCGCTCGGGGGTCATAACTCCGAAACCGGAAGTGGTAGACTAACGCCACCTGGCCTATGTTACTCCCCGGTCCGAGCTACCCCTATACCCCGAATTTCAGATTCAAGGCAGACCTAGTGTATCCGCCAACCCCGAACAGACAGACAGACAGACAAACGACAGTCTCAAATATTAGTATGGATAACCACCCGATAAATACTTTTCTGGGAACGTAGCTTTATGCCTTAAGCAAGAATGGTCTTGACTGTGTTATAATCATTGGGTGCCAATAGGATGCCAGTGCAAGCGAGAATAGACGTTAAATTGATGTGAAATGTCATCTTATCTGAGAGAACTGGTGGTACCTTACATGCCATCGAAAAATCTAAGATCAAGTACTAAGAACAGCCTTGTTGTCCCAAAATATTAACTAAGCTTCTTTGGAGCTCGCTCATTTAGTGTTGTTGCTGACAATTTGTGGAACTCGCTATCTGAGAATCTTCTATCCAGTCGAGTGGACGTTAAACCCTCTCTCTCTCTCTCCCTCTCTGTCTCTCTCTCTCTGTCTCTGTCCCTCTCTCTCTCTCTCTCTCTCTCTCAAGCGATTCTAGTGACTACAGAATCCGACTTGAAACGTCAATTTGTAACAACAAACACTACTTGCAATCCATAGAATTGAAGTGCTGAATATTCCAAGTTACCAATTGGAACTACTCTACGTATTGCCAGAGCAGATAATTTTCTATTGAAACAACGTAAACCGAACAATATTTACGAACACATCTGATGCGTACGTTTTCTCAATGTTAATGAACAAAATTTCCAGAACACATTGTCTCAAATTGAACGCACTTTTAAAGCGGAAGCATAGACACATCGAGAAAAATCTATATATAAAAATAATATACTATTCAAAAAAAGTAGGGAATATTTGATTTTTAAGTATTATTAAAGTCACCTAATGAAACTGACGAAGAAACAAATGACAAAATGAAATGAAGTTCACATTCATCGATTTATTCCAAATGATCGTTAGACTAAGTAAGGCACAGACTGACCATTATAAGGGTAAAATGATACCCGGGGTCAAACAGCAAAGTTACCACAGCATCACAACCAAGTCAGTAACGGGTAAATCCTCCTCTGTTTGCCAAACAAGCATTGATCCGACGTGGCATACTCCTAATGAGACGTCTAAGGTCATTTTGGTCCAGATTGTCCCATTCCTGTTGCAACGCAGCAGCAAGTTCTTGGACATTGGCAGGACGTTGTTGACGTTGACGTAACCTCTGTCCAAGCATGTCCCAGACATGCTCGATGGGGGAGAGGTCGGGACTCAGTGCTGGCCAAGGTAATGTGGTGATGTTCTGTTGTTGGAGGTAACCTGTAACGATCCTGGCCCTGTGACATCTTGCGTTGTCATCCTGGAAGATGAAACGGCGGCCATGACGTCGTGCGAACGGCACAACATGGACTGCCAAGATGTTGTCCCGGTAGTACTGGCCTGTAACACGCCCTGCAACAACATGTAAAGCCGTTCTTCCAGCAACAGTGATGCCTCCCCACACCATAACAGAACCACCCCTAAATCGATCATGTCTGATGACGTTAACGTCTTGGAAGCGCTCGTTTCGACGACGCCACACCCTCCTACGTCTGTCCAAAAAATCAACAGTGAACCTTGACTCATCTGAAAACATCACATTGCTCCAGCGTCGATTATCCCAGTGTTGACGATCCCTACACCAACGACGTCTTGCCTGAATGTGATGATCTCTCAAACAAGGGATCACGCGAGGACGTCGGGCGCGAAGGTGACCCCTATGCAGTCGATTCCGAATCGTCTGGCCACTCACTCTCACACCAGTGTCTGTTTCAAGACGAGCGCTGATCTGATTTGCTGTGATGACACGATTTCTCAAGGCCAAGGTACGGATAAATCGATCCTGGGCTTGAGTTGTCGCCCTTGGTCGACCTGAGCGTGGTCTGTCCTGTACAGATTGTGTATCACGGTATCTGGACCATAGCCTGCTTATGACAGACTGAGAAACATTCATCGTCCGCGCCACAACCGCCTGTGTTGTGCCGATCTGTAGCATGCCAAGGGCACGTAACCTTTCATTTTGGGTAAGCCGACGCATATCAAAATTTGTTTTCTGGTCACTAAAACAATTAAACTGATGTTTCCACCCTGGAATTCAATGCCACAATGACTGTAACATTCAAAGTCAGAGTCGTGCAAATCTTGGGTTGGACCCCCATGATGATCCCAAGCATCACCTGCATTCCATGCGGTAGCTATTGGTGCGTTTGGGCGTCACATGTAACTGGAAATGTTTCTTCTGTTAGGTTCTATAGTGACTTTTTTCGTAGTCATTTGCATATTTTAGTATTATGCCCCCAAAATCAAATATCCCCTACTTTTTTTGAATAGTATTATAGTAAGCTATAATGTATAAATAGCACCTTTTCAATCCGTATTTGTTTTTAACTTCAATAACGAAAAGCTTGATTTGTCGTGTGTCATGTTACCTATTTGACTATTGGATGGTTGTGTAAAAGACAAATTAATTTTTATTAAGTGTTTAAAAGGACAATGCTATGCTTGTGTGTATACATGCGCCATTCTCTTGATTTCATTTCCGCTTTAGCGTTGCTTTTTTAATGAATATTTTCTGGAAAATACTAGATCAATTTTAGAAAGAAAACATAATCCATATCAAATCACGAAAACGTATTTGGCACAGACCTGAGCGGCACCTTTTATCTACTGTGGGGAAAAGGGAGTCATGTCTCCGTTGCGACAAAAGATTGACATAACTTTATTTTTCCGCGAAAACACTGCTTACAGTCGGTTATGTAACGCATTTACCGCTACGGCCTACTCTTATATTAAATTCCAACTGCCCAGGGATCTTTGAAGTGCACCCAAATGTGTACGTGTACGGGACCTCGGTTGAAAATAACCTACTCAAAACACAAAAGAAAATATTTACACGGCGGTGGAAGCGGACGTTAAACGCTAAGAAGAAGAACAACAACAACATGTACGTCTTTAGTAGGTAGGACGCTGGCTCGCTAGCCTGGAGGTCACGTGTTCGATCCCTGCATTGGCCGAGAAAGTTCATCGGGATTATCCAACGTGGTTTCCCCTTGTCAGTGGTGCACAACGGAGGGCCTGACAAGGAAAGCTGTCTAGTCGTTCTGATGGGACGAAAAACCGAGGTACCGTATACACGTTGGAGGGCACGTTAAAGATCCCTTGACGGTGGAATTCGATATAAGAGTAGCCCGTAGTGCCGCTGTCCGGGCACAATTTCCCTCATAGCACACTGTATGATGTAAGCCAGTCTTCATTAGCTCAGTTCGGAACAGAATAGTAGGACGTCAAACCCCATTTCATTTCATAATCAGATTTCTAGATTTGACACGGTTTGACATAAAGGGGGTTGGATGGCCGAATGGTTAGCGCGTGCGCGCTGTATCATAATGTCTGTCATTGAGTCAACTGACGTGGTTCCGATTCCCCGGCAACTGGCGTGGTTTCGAATCCCCGGTTGTACGTGACAAGGAGTAGGGTCGCCTGTCCAACCTCGTGGGTTTTCTCCAGGTCCTCCGGTTTCCTCCCACTGCTAAAGACCCCTACGCGCAAGCGAATTATTGAAATAAAATTAAACCATATGTTAGTCTCGAAATGACCTAGTTTGTGTTGAGTGGACGTTAAACCCCATTTCTCTCTCTCTCTCTTTCGATTCCCGGGGGTTGAATGGCTGAATGGTTAGCGTGCGCGCGCTGTATCATAAAAGTCTGTCATTGAGTCGACTGGCGTGGTTTCGAATCCCCGGTTGTACATGACATGGAGTAGGGTCACCTGTCCAACCTCGTGGGTTTTTTCCGGGTCCTCCGGTTTCCTCCCACTGCTAAAGACCCCTACGCACAAACGAATTTTTGAAATAAAATTAAACCGAAATGACCTAGTTTGTGTCGAGTGGACGTTAAACCCCATTTCTCTCTATCTTTCTCTCTCTCTTTCTCTCTCTCTCTCTCTCTATCTCTCATTTGATATAGCGTCATTTGACATAGCGTGTAGATAATATACAAATAGTAGTCAATTATATATATATATAGGTTTACCGTGCACGTGATGAATCATGTGACTATATGCAGTCATGGGTGTAGGAGGAGTGTTGTTTTTATTTCTATCACTGCTTACTGCTTTGGTAAATATCATATTAATATCTCAATCCTAAATTCACTCTGTATATTATCCCAATCCTATTTTTCTTTTCTGGCCATTTAATAATTTTAATAATTTTATCAGTACATTAAATTCAATAGAAGATAGGTCTACTGATCTAGATAGAAATCACCAATACAAGTGAGTATGTCAGTGAACCGCTTATCTCAAACGTACTCTCGTGCGTTACACAGGGGCGGATCCTGGTGGGTATGTAGCCCCACCCCCTCCCTCCTCCACGAAACCAGTTATTTCAATACATAGCAGTATGGTGATGTTGTAACTGATCAAATTGAAAGTTTTTTCGGGCCCACGGTAAAACATGAATCTTATTTTTTCTTTATTGTTTTTATTTTGTATGGTATGAACTTAAAAGACATTTCTGGGCTCATTAAATTTATTCGGTTTTGACTTTTACAACAAAATATGTAAAAATATATAAGGAATTTCAAATTATTCGGTGCGTGTAAATTTATTTTTATAAGAATCCCTCCCCGTTCGGCACGAAATAACGCTTGATTCTACTACACCGGAGGCTGAGTGATGGGGGGGGGGGGGGGTTCCATCAAATGGGCACAAAACCAGACCTTACTTTTCTAGAGTAAAGTTTTGCGTAGAATACGATGCCGGATGGTAATAAGTCCGCCGTTTCGGTGTTTTCCAGATATTCGGGTCAAAGGTCAAATGAGGTCATTTACACTTAAAACTAATGCTCCGCCATTCTTATATCATGAAAACATGCTGAAAACGATCGAAAGTAATCAAACTTCCAATAAAAATGTTAACTTGCTAAATTCACCTTTGTTCTTTGTGACCCAAGGAGGGGGGGGGGGGGCAAAAGGACAAATTTTCCGTTTTTGCACTAGGAAGATTTAAAGCAATAAAATGTCAGCGTGAAATATAAGAACTAAAGCGAAACCTGTTCTAATTTATAAAAGAAACATTTAAAACTTATCTTTGAACTGTTTCATGGTTTGACTCCAGCTTGCAGACCGCGTGGATTTCCGGGAATCCCAATCTGGGGAAAACGACGTTAATCTGTGACCGGAAAACACGTATCAGACGACGCGGTTAAAGGTTTGCAAATTTTTTATGAGTTTTCATGAATTTTGCCGGATCATGGACACAGATAAAACCAACAGATGCATTGCACATTATAGCCCACGGGATATAAATGTCGTATTAGTAAATGTTACCGGGAGAAAGTTTGGCAAACTTCGTGACGCGGCCTACAACTGGAGTTCAGCCATGAAACTATCCAATTGTTTTTTCGCACAACTAGTTTCATTATGTATAGCAATCGTTGTGAAACTAAATCAAAGAGATTATGATTTGACAGTTTTTACGTATTTTTGAAACAGGTTTCCAAGTGTTTTGGTTCTTTTATGCAAGATCTTTTTCGACGTTCTAAAGTAAATGTACGGTGATAAGACGACCTAAAGACAAGTTAAAATGTTCTTTTTATTAATTAGAACGGGTTTAGCTTTAGTTTTTAGTTTTTACGCTGACATTTTATTGCTTTAAATCTTCCTAGTGAAAAACTGACAATTTGACATTTCGGCCTCCGGGGTCACAAAGAACAAAGGTAAATTTAGCAAATCAACATTTTTATTGAAAGGTCGATTACTTTCGATCATTTTCAGCATGTTTTCGTGATACAAGAATGGCTGCGCAGTCACTTTTAGTGCAAATGACCTCATTTGACCTTTGACCCCGAATATCTGGAAAACGCCCCAACGGTGGACTGATTACGCAAAATTTTACTCTAGAAAAGTTGGGTCTGGTTTTGTGCAAAGTTTGATGGACACCCCACCCCCACCCCCGCACTGAGCCTACAGGCTATACATTTGTGTATATTTATGAAAATGAGGTTAACCGTCGTATTTTTTATTTTTGCTATTAGGTAAACACTGATGGCGTTCCCTACTCTGAAACAAAGATTGAAAAAGTTCATATTATTTTTATGAATCATTTAGGTGAGTCATCAATTTAATTATTGATTGGTTTGATTGTATATTAAACTTTAATTTTTAAAAACTTAATGACATAATCGTTTATCTCTGATTCGACAATTTTATTAAACATTAATTTTTAACAACTTAATGGAATATTCTTTTATCCCTGATTCGACATTATTTTGATTTAATAATGAATGAGCGTTGAGCATCAGATCGGACTATAATCTAGTAATTATCGCAAGCTAGCGATACATCGAGAGTTGATTGATGTCTAATTAATAATTTAGATAACATTTCAGACATAAAGATAGACCAGAAATAGGCAGATTTAGCTCTTGCATAATGTATGTTAAGTAATGATTTCGTTGATTGACAGGGGGGGGGGTGGATGGCCGAATGATTAGCACGTGTGGCTGTATCATACGGCCTGTCATTGAGTCAACTGGCGTGGTTTCGAATCCCCGGTTGTACGTGACAAGGAGTAGGGTGGCCTGTCCAACCTCGTATGTGTCGAGTGGACGTTAAACCCCATCTCTCTCTCTCTCTCTCTCTCTCTCTCTCTCACCCGTTGCTTGATAAAGACGAGAAAACCCTCGTCGAAACGTCGCTGAAATAAACTCTTCAAGTAACTTGTATTCCATATAATTGTGTCATGTGTTATTCTCATCCAGTTACTAAATGCCACTTAAACAATTTACTAATAACATGTATATTGTTTTCCACTCTGGAGTCATTGAAACACTGAAAAATATTTTTGGGGAAAGCGGGGTCCTTGAAAAAAAGATAAAACGTATCTCGGAATTTTCCCCCTGACAAGAGCCTGGCAAGGAACAGTGTCTAGTTGTTCGGGTGGGTAAAAAATCGAGATCCGTGTACGCGTTGGTATGCACGTTAGAAACCTTGGTAATTGGAATTCGAAATACGGGTTAGGCCGGAGCGTCGCTGCCCGCGCGCATAATTTCCCTAAAAGCACCTCTGTCTTCATTATCCCGGTTGGTGCAGAAATATAGGACTTTAAACCCCATTTCATTTCAAAAATAATATTGCTATTATAATTTGGCAAAGGTGCGTTTTATCTTTTTGTTTTGTTTTTGTTTGGGGTTTGTTTTTGTTTTTTTTGGGGGGGGGGGGGCGGTAAATACTATTTCTATAAATAATATCAATACTATTTCTATAAATAATATCAATACTATTTCTATATATAATATCAATTTTTATTTCTATAAATAATATCAATACTATTTCTATAAATAATATCAATTTTATTTCAATAAATAATATCAATACTATTTCTGTAAATAATATCAATATTATTTCTATAAATAATATCAATATTATTTCTATAAATAATATCAAAATTATTTCTATAAATATTATCAATACTATTTCTATAAATAATACAAATTTTTATTTTAAAATAATATTTCTGTAAATTTTTTATATTTATTTCAAAATGATATTTCTATATTTTTTTTTTTTATATTTATTTCAAAATGATATTTCTATACTTTTTTATTCTTATTTTAAAATACTATTTCTAGAAATAAAATAATTTTTTTTATAATGTTTTTCAGATGTGGGGTATAATGGTATATCGCCTACAGTGGGGTTTATAAACAATATATTTAACATATATTACCACAAATATTTTCCACGAGCTGTAGCTTTATCTAAAGCTATAGAACAATTACAATCTAATGTCACATTTATCTATACTACACATCCATGGCTCGTCAGCTCCTATATTAACTGTCAAAATGGTCCGCCCATGTTACTTAACAACATAACGTTAAAGGTTAGCTTGAGTTTTTTTGTTTTTTGGGTTTTGTTTTTATTTATTTTTTCTTCTGTTGTCTTTAAACAGACCAGGTGGTTCAGTGAGTAAGGCGCTGGTACATTAAACATAGTTTCGGTTGTCCTGGAAAGTTCGCGAGAATCCGACGTTGTTTCTTTCCCCTTTTCAGCTGTGCAGGGCGGAGGGCGCTGGCTCACTAAACATAACTTCGGTTATCCAGTAAAAGTTCGCGGGAATCCAGCGTTGTTCGTCCTTGTCAGTGATGCAGGATGGAGGGCCTAGCAAGAAATAACATCTAGTTGGTCAGATGGGACGAAACATCGAGTTTCTGTGTAAACATTAGCATGGCATTTGTAATTCGGACAAGAGGAGGTCAAAAAGCTGTTGTCCAGGCCAATTTGACATCATGGCGTATGCCCGTCTTGATAAGCCCGGTTGCTGCAGAAAAGTGGGGCGTTAAAGATACATTCCCGCGTGCAAATTGGGTGATTTAATGGTATATATGGACTAAAAACATATTCAAACTAATTAATTTGTCATAATTTTGCTTCAAATCCTTCTCAAACATTGTAATTGCGAAGGAATGCCCTGCTATAAAAATTCGATCAAACCAGGTCATGTTTACGTCACGTGACTTACCTCCCTTGGAAGTCAGAGGAGAATTCATTGCATACATAAGACGATGTTGTCTTTAATCGCTTACTATTTATTACAAATATCGAATCCTAATTAAATTCTCGGATTATCCATGACCCGCGTCATGTTTTATCTCAGTCAGTGTTGAAAGTCTAACTCTTCATAAAGTTTATCAACTTGTACATCAAGCGCTCAATGTTCGCTTGTGACCTTTGACATCACGCATGCAGAAGTTCCTAATCGTCGGGCTGTTGATTAGGGGAACCCTTACATTTTTGTCCTGTATACGCTCCATGAGTGTTTTTCGGGAAATCCAGTATTTTTCTAGTAAGATTGGATATCTCTCTTTCCATATATACCAAAATTGCCATACTTTTATTGGAAATAACCACCCGATAAATACTTTTCTGGGAACCCATCTTTAAACTCCATTTTTGATTTTAAACCCCCGTCAGTTGTATGAAATTTATAAATAGAGACCCAAGATTACGTTAATTCAGGAGATCCGCTTAACCCTAAGTGTCACCAAAGTTGAAGGGCTGTGAAAGTTTACGCAATAAAGTATCTTTGTTGCCGTCCCCAAAGGGTTCAGTTTTAGGTACTTTCAATTCAGATATTATATACGCATACATTCTGGTCATTTCAGTGTCCGACTGCTCAGGAAATTGGTGATTTCGAATGGGCGGTTAAGAAAGGATATATCACTTGGCATGCGGGACCAATGAACATGCAGCCTGAGAATTTGAATCAATTTCTTTTTGAACAAAGTTTGAACATCAGTCAACAACTGGATAACGTTTATGGTATACAACGACAGTTTAAAACATTAAGCCAGAGAGATGTACCGGGTAAATAAATTCTCTATAACTTATAAAATAAATGAAGCTTTGGTATTTTAAAGTCTGGATGTGCCATTTTAGAGTAAAACATATTCACGACAGATGACGACAGATAATAATTCCCCCAGTGAGTGTCCTTGTAAACAAATATAAGAGTAGACGATATGAAATTGAATAGGCCATTTATTATAAATAAATGACAAGAAAATTTAATATACGTAATAACAATAATGTAACAAAATAGACAAGAACATAAAAAAATACCGCATTGGGAATGATTATTATGAATTTCAATACTGATTAGCTAAATACATATTTTGTTGATAAGGATGGTGTACTGCCAAAGATTGTGAACGCCACGGACTGAGAGAGAGAGAGAGAAATGGGGTTTAACGTCCACTCGACACAAACTAGGTCATTTCGAGACTAACATATGGTTTAATTTTATTTCAATAATTCGCTTGCGCGTAGGGGTCTTTAGCAGTGGGAGGAAATCGCGGGACCCGGAGAAAACCCACGAGGTTGGACAGGCGACCCTACTACTCCTTGTCACGTACAACCGGGGAATCGAAACCACGCCAGTTGACTCAATGACAGACCTTATGATGCAACGCAAACGCGCTAACCATTCGGCCACCCAACCCTCCATAATACTATAAACAGCACCGAACGCTTTTTGAACTGATATTCCTATTAAAGGTTCATCTTTTACGGAATGTCTAGTCAGTCTCCCCTACCGTGGCGTTCAGGGGGGTTGGATGGCTGAATGGTTAGCGTGCGCGCGCTGTATCATAAAGTCTGTCATTGAGTCGACTGGCGTGGTTTCGAATCCCCGGTTGTACGTGGCAAGGAGTAGGGTCGCCTGTCCAACCTCGTGGGTTTTCTCCGGGTCCCGCGGTTTCCTCCCACTGCTAAAGACCCCTACGCGCAAGCGAATTATTGAAATAAGATTAAACCATATGTTAGTCCCGAAATGACCTAGTTTGTGTCGAGTGGACGTTAAACCCCATTTCTCTCTCTCTCTCTCTCTCTGTCTCTCTCTCTGTCCGTGTTCTTTTTATTTGAGAATATTATGTTGTTGAATTTATTGTTTTTTGTTTGTGCTAGGTATGACCCAGTCCGTGATACCAAGTTTAGCTAAATATGGCATCAAGGGGATCTCGGTTGGTGTGAATCCCAGTACAAGCCCACCTGGTGTTCCCAATCCGTTTCTCTGGCAATTCCAAGGGGAAGAAGTAATTGCAATGTGGCATAAAGGTACAATTTCTTTACTCTATAAAACACATATTTTGTATCGTTACGCATACCAGAAACACTGAAATTCGGGAGCCACGGTTGCTAGGTGGTTAAGAAGCTGGCTCGCTAGCCTGGAGGTCGGATGTTCGATCCCTGCATTGGCCGAGAAAGTTCATCGTGATTTTCCGACGTGGTTTCCACTTGTCAGTGGTGCAGAACGGAGGGCCTGACAAGGACAGCTGTCTAGTGCTTCGGATGATACGAAAACCCGAGGTCCCGTGTATACTTTGGAATGCACGTTAAAGATCCCTTGGCAGTTGGAATTCGATATAAGAGTAGGCGGTAGTACTGCTGCCCGGGCAAATTTTCCTCATAGCACACTGTATGGCGTATGACCGTCTTCATTAGCCCAGTTCGGAACAGAACAGTAGGACGTTAAACCCCATTTCATTTCATTTCATTTACACTGAAATTCATATATATATATATGAAATATAAATTAACAATTAGCTTATTTAATCAAAGATGTATGGAGACATTCTGTAGATATACATCCATCAAATCTGCTTTTTTGAGATTCAAGTTTGTTTTTCGTTATTCGCCAATATCGAAAAACGAGCCCATGATTAACTCTCTTGACATCGGATGGTCGCTTTATGTAATGGATGGAAACACGATTTCCATTTAATGATTTAAATTTAAAATAGATATTCGAGACTTTGTTTATTAACGTAGCAATGGTAGCAATGAAAATCGAGTCTACACTATTCTGATAAAAACTTCCAACATCCAGAATAAAGCAATTTGATTGAAATTTTAAATATATTCATTTTTTATAATCTATTTTGAACTATTTTAGCGAGAACTGTCAGTCCTTTGTCTCAATCAGTGGTTCTCGACCTTTTCTTGCCAACGGCACACCTTGGAACACATGAAAAAACAGCGGCACACCTGGCTAAATAATATATGAAAAATATTTGAATTTTGCAAAATAAAAACAAGGCAAGTCATAGACTCCATACAACAGTAGACATATTAGTCATATACACATTTATAATGATTCAAACTTAATAAAGAAAAACACAGCTACGAACTTACCAGTAGACACCAGTGAATACTTAACTGGAATCACATGTTCTTTAGCATTTTCTTGGTGTGTCGTTCAAAATTTCGCGGCACACCTAGGAAGATCTCGCGGCACACAGGTGTGCCGCGGCACATTGGTTGAGAATCACTGGTCTAAATCATACATAATGTATGTTTCACTAGTGTTTTATCAACAGCACGGTAATAGGCTGAGTGTTACTGGGTAATAACTCTGATTAACCTTTAAATGCAGTGCCCAGGCATTTAAAAGCGAGAATTTCATATTTTTAATTTATATTTTTTAAATGTATTAAAATAACGCCTTAAAATAGATGGTATCTGTAAACAGTACTACCTTGTTAAAGAATAATCCTATTAATCCTATAATTCACTATTGCCAGTTGAGAAATTGGAAAAAAAATATCTTTTTCAACTTCAAATTGAAACGTTTGAAGATAGCTATTCCATGGGGGTGGTGGGGGATAGAAAAACAAGGGAGGTAATTGTGTTATTATTTCCAGTGTGAATGATTTTTTAAGTGTGAGAATGATGCCTATGATCGTATAATAGTGAGTTGACAACCTATTGAGCAAAAGACATAGAAATAATTATGTTTCGACTTTCTTAGAAAATATGAAATTCTCGCTTTCATAAAAATACAACAATCTGATTAAAACACAGATGCTATTTCGTTTCGTTTTTTATAGTTCAAAATTTGTTTTATTTGTCTGTATGTAGTGTAGGCATAGAAATATATAAATATTTATATATTTCTATGAGTGTAGGTCATCGAAAGTATATAAAACGAAACGAAATATAGATCTGTATTTTAATCAGACTAATAAAATCAATAACAGAAACAACATGCATATTACTTCAGGTGGTTACCCCTTGAATCCTGGACCCGATCCATCACAGCCAGGTGGTTTATCTAGAAAAGACTGTGTTATTGTTGACGGCTTCTCCGAGGCCTTGTGCTTCGCCTTCAGGACTGATAATGCTGGTCCCCCAGAATCGGTCAAAGCAAGTATATTTTTATGTTAAATATCGTAGTTGATATTTATCTCAATTCAGTCAATGAAACAAGAAATTAGAATAGTACGATTAACACAGATTCTGAAATCAGATGGAATCGTGTATAGTAATACAAGTACTATTTCAATTTGAATATGAAACATTAATTGATGGTGTAGCATTGTCCGTTATCATACAAACGTTTACGATAGAAAGCAAAGATCCTAGTATAGAACCTTGGGCAACCTCGGTATGTTGTTGTTGTTCTTAGTGTTTAAATAACGTCCACGTCCACCGAAGGTGATATCGCAGACAAGTCTTATTTTCATTTTTATTATCTTAGCGCACGCGCAGAAGTCTTTCCTGTGAGAGGAAACCGGAGTACCCGGAGTAAATCCACGAGATTGAGAAGGCGCCCCTATCTCCAAGCCATATACCCTCACACGGGGAATCTAAACCACAATTGCAAGCTATAGGTTACCAACCAGCTAGAGGTCGAAGCGCGACACTTGGCCATCCCAGCCCCCCCCCCCACCCTAACCTCGGCATCTGAACGCATGCACTTTTATATACGGGACGCTATTAGACATCGTTTGGTTTCAGATAGCAAATTTCGATAGGATTAATTCTTTTCAATATTTAACAGGAAATATTATCGAATTATGCTATTCTGGCTGCAGAATTCCCAGGAGCAAAACTCATGGCATCGACATTTGAAAATTATGTTCAAGCGTTATACCCAATCAAAGACCAGTTACCAAAAGCAAGTTATGAAATCGGAGATACCTGGATTCAAGGAATTGCTTCCGATCCTCTGAAAATGTCCAAATACAGAAGTTTTTCTCTGACCCTTCAAGAATGTTTTCAAACCGGTATGTCAGATATTTTCTCATAAAATCTATTTATAAATATTGTTTTGTGATGTAACTAGTTATGTCGGGTTATGGTGGAGGTCGGGTGTTCGATCCCTGCATTGGCCGAGAAAGTTCATCCAGATTTTCCGGCGTGGTTCCCCCTTGTCAGTGATGCAGGAGGAACGGCCTGACAAGGACAGCTGTCTAGTCGTTCGGATGGGACAAAAAACCGAGGTCCCATGTACACATTGGCGTGCACGTAAAAGATCCCTTGACAGTTGGAATTCGATATAAGAGTAGGCTGTAGTTTCGCCGTCCGGGCAAAATGTCCCTCATAGCACGCTGTATGGCGTATGCCCGTCTTCATTAGCCCAGTTCGTAGCAGAACAGTAGGATGTTAAACCCCGTTTCATTTCGTTATGTCAGGCACGGGTATAAAACGCGTGAATGAGAATTATGCGGAAGCGGGTGAGTCGTGGTTGAGAATTGTGCGTTCGTGTACGATTCGTTGATGAGAACGATTAATATATTACAAGGTGTTACTTGGTGAGATTCTTTTAATGACGGCGTTAACCACTCAATCAGCAGAATCAGGCGTATTTTAGGGTTATACTAGAAGATCGTAGTTACTCTCGTCTAACACCTCGAATGGTTGTTTCTAAGGTTCACTTAATGAATTCCTCCTCTAATATTCCTTAAATATCTCAAAAATATTTTTCAACAAAGTGTTGAAAAGGTCGGCTAACGCAGTCAATGTTTTTAAAAGTATAAACCGTGTCCCCGAATAACAAAGTTGACAAGACTTGTTTAAATCTTTAATCCTTCGGATGAGACGAAAAACCGAGGTCCCGTGTATATATTGGAATGCACGTAAAAGATCCCTTAGCAGTTGGAATTCGATATAAGAGTAGGCGATAGTGTCGCTGCCCGGGCAAAATTTCCCTCATAGCACACTGTATGGCGTATGCCCGTCTTCATTAGCCCAGCATAGGAGCAGAACAGTAGGACGTTAAACCCCATTTCATTTCATTTCATTTTTAAATCTTTAATCTTCACACAGTCTTGTCAAGTTTGGTATCCGGGGATTTTTATCATGAATTATTTACAAAGAATGGTTCCTGTTCTTCCTTGGTCGAATCACTGAGCCCAAAACTCACTTGCACTGTCATACCCGTCAGACCGGGTGGCGTCTCCATGGTCGCCAATAATCGCCGTTTGAGCACGTTCAAAACCAACGCCAAGGGTCTGCGTTCTGACCTGGACAGATGTAAGAACGCGATTTTTTTCAAGTTTGTAATATTTTGGGACATTTTCTCGCGTCGTGTTCGTGGTTATGCATTTTCTTGTCGGTGTACGGTCGCAGCAGCGCAGTAAGGACATCACCCCGGTCTAACGGGGGCATTAGAGGGACTCTTCCGCCCTTTCCTTCCTTTTAGTGAACGGTTTTTTCGTCACTTTTGGCGAATTTTGTTATGTATTATATGATAACAGAATATTTGATGTGTACGAAAGTGTACCAAAATGTCCGCTAATGCGGCCAAGGTGTTCTGCTCTGATGATGATAATGTTATTTTACAGGCCAGTGTGATACAGATGATAGTAGAATATTTAATGCTATTAGATACATAATAAAACCACCAGAACATACATGGGGACTACCAACAGTTAACGATTTTATTCACTGGTCAAACCCCGATTTTAATATCGCTAGATCAGGTAACTTATTACCCTATTTACCAGTAGGGGTTGCTTTTGTTGTTAAATTGTATTAAGTTATCAGAAGTACGGGTTCTGTTTTTCGATTTTCAGTATAAAAATGCGAAATAACATTAGTTATCGTAAAACAGTTTGGGACTGTTACCTAAAGGCGGGGAAAAGATTCTTTGTTACAAAGTAATTTGTAGATTCTCTAATATGTAAATGTTTTGTCATTTTTATATACATAATGTCATAATTACTATATTATAGTACGTAAAGGGAATTTTTGATGGACTATTTTGAATTTATTAAGAATGTATATTCTCAGTTATTTTTGTGATAATTTTTTTTTACTAATATTGCTATAATTTATTGTAGTAAATAAAAGAGATTTTCGATCCATTATTTCGAATTTAGATCTACTATTATGTATTTATTAAACATACATTACGCAAGAGTTAAATCTGCCTATTGCGGGTCTTTCTTTAGGCCTGAATTAACATATCCAGACCATAATCAACTCTCTCTGTCACTAGCCTGTATTTGAATCCCATCTGCTTCTCAACGCTCATTGATGATTATATCCAAAAATGGATAATTGAGACTATGTTTTATTGTACCGACCTTAGTAATGATGATCGAGGCTTGGCCTAAAATTCAAAAGCTAACATCTCGGTTCCGAGTGGATCAATTTGACTGAAATTTTCTGCAAATTCCCTTTACATTATCAAGTTTTTAACTATTATAGTGAGAGCTCCTAGCTCGTTATCTAATCTACCATGATGTCCCTTTAAGAATGTACGCAGTTATTTTTGTGAGGAAAAAAAATACCAATATTGCTGTCTATATATTATGGTAAATAAAAGAATTCTTCGATCTATTGTTTCGAAATTAGATCTACTATTATGAATTTATTCATAACGTGCGCTGTATAAACATATTTTAAAAAGATTTCTAGGATTTCCATTTCATTGCTCTGTTTTTGCAGATCAGAATTTTTTAAATTGCGATGCTGCCTGGGCAGAACAAAGGACATTTATAGATTTAGCTTTAGCTTCGCTAGAAGATCATCCTGTAGTCGAGAGGGTTGTAGCTGGATTAGCAGAACTTATACCTAGAAAACCAGATCTTACCAGTAAGTTATAAATGAAATGAAATGGGGTTTAGCGTCCTACTGTTCTGCTCCTATACTGGGCTAATGAAGACGGGTCTACGCCATACAGTGTGCTTTGAGGGAAATTTTGCCCTGGCAACTGCACTATGGCATACTCTTATATCGAATTCCAATTGCCAAGGGATCGTTTACGTGCACGCCATTGCATACACGGGACCTGGGAATTTCGTCCCACCTGAACGACTAGACATTTGTCCTTGCCAGGCCCTCCTTCCTGCACCACTGGAAAATCCTGATGAAATTTCTCGGCCAATGCAGGGATCGAACATGCGACCTCCAGGCTAGCGAGTCAGCGTCTTACTCACTTGGCCACCATGACTCCAAGAACGAAACCTAGTACATCTCCTTTTTAGTATCAATCTAGAATTCGCATATTTACCTAGTGCACGACACCAGTCACGTCTGGACCCACATGATGGCCGAGATTTTCCAGTCTGGTTCCCCTTTTCAGGGCCTGGCAAGAAACGATTTCAAGTCGTTCGGATGGGACAAAAAAGGGATCCCTTTTCCACGATGGTGTGCATGGAAGAGAATTCATAACACATGCAAATATGGGGAAATTAGGCGTAAACCGCGTAATGCCCTGTCTTCATTAGCCCGGTTAATGCAGAAATGTAGATTATAATATTATTTATATAATTGGTAGATTATAATATTATTTATATAATTGGTAGATTATAATATTATTTATTGGTAGATTATAATATTATTTATATAATTGGTAGATTATGATATTATTTATATAATTGGTAGATTATGATATTATTTATATAATTGGTAGATTATAATATTATTGATATTATTTATATAATTGGTAGATTATAATATTATTTATATAATTGGTAGATTATGATATTATTTATATAATTGGTAGATTATAATATTATTTATATAATTGGTAGATTGTAAAAGTATATATATATATAATTGGTAGATTATAATATTTTTTATATAATTGGTAGATTAGTATATTATAATATTATTTATATAATTGGTAGATTATAATATTATTTATATAATTGGTAGATTATAATATTATTTATATAATTGGTAGATTATAATATTGAAAAAGATGTTACACAGACGTATTATTGTGATGACCGAATACAAGTAGCCTTCAACACCCAGGGTTTTATACAACATTTATATGATCCTTACAACAAGGTAAGACACCTTTATCCAGTTAACCCAGAAACGCTCTTAATAAAATCAATATCTTGTGCTGGTTCTAAGCGAAATTCATTTTTGTTACTCGCCGTTGCATTATTTACTGCTGATCTGGTTGGATAGCCGAATGGTTAGCACGTCAACTGGCGGGGTTTCGATTCCCCGGTTGTACGTTAAAAGGAGTAGGGTCGGCTGTCCAACCTCGTGAGTTTTCTCATGTGTTGGTCCCGAGGTGACCCAAGTTTGTGTCAAGTGGACGTTAAACTCTCTCTCTCTCTCTCTCTCTCTCTCTCTCTCTCTTTTTTTTTTTTACTTTATCGACTTGTGTTGATATTTTTTGATATCAAAATCAAAAAAGACTCGTAGGATGTTCTCTATATATGAAAAGAAATTAAAAAAAAGATACGTGGGAAAGTTTTCGATGTGGAATACCACAAGGGTCAGTATTCGTTCCTTTATTACCGAACACTAGGTAAAAATCAATCATTGGTATGACAACTATGACAGGTATTTTCAAAATCACAATTGTATCTTTGATAAATGCATGCATGTTTATTCTCTTCAGGTGAACTGGGCATCCGAGAATAACCCCATGGGCGAGTTTCTATATAACAGTTATAATGATTCGGATTTTGACTATATGAATTCGTACTACAGTTATCTAGGAAATGCTGGCTTTTATAAGATTAATCTAACTGATAACGCTCATCCCGAATCCAAGAAATGGCCAATGAAATTACAAACACTTTACAAATATGAATGTAAGTGCGTCATTTCTTTTAATGCTGGGTTACGATAGGATTGTCTCAATCTGATTAAAACACAGATCCTATTTCGTTTCGTTTTTATAGTTCAAAATTTCGTTTTACTTTTCTTTACTACACTAGGATCTGGAAGAGTTGTTATATTACCGGCATTCTCGTTGAAGTGAGGGATTAGCCAATGAAACGGTCTGTTACGGCGAGTTCTTGACCTTTTTACGCACGGAACTATTGGTAAACCACTAGAAACGTCAACGCTGATTGATTAATCAATGTCTGACTTCATAGGGTCAAAAGCCGCTCGTTTGACCCCTGACGTAAACTCCCACTATAACTTGCCAGATCTTCATGTAGTGTAGGCCATCGAAAGTATAAAAAAAAACGAAACGAAATATAGATCTGTATCTTAATCTGATTGGGACTGTCCCTATTGAGTCCAGGATCTGCTACGTGCAGATTCATTCGAATACGTTTCGATACGATCAACTAATCCCAACCCTAACCCTAACACTGGACCTAGCATCAATGATTACCCTAACCCTAACATACAATCTCGCAAACAATCACGTGCCCTAACCTTTTATACATCCCAGCGACCTTGACAAAAATTGAGCTGGCCTTAACAAACCCTAGATTTAGCCGTGCTAAAACATGTGAACTTTGGTATTGCAAGTTTACAGAACAGAAAATTGATATATTCTAATTTTGGATCATCTGGAGCCCAAACCTATAGACATTGATGTTCTTGTGTTGTTATTCCTCTTCCTCGGGTGGGGGGGGGGGGGGTGGCAACGCTAATCTAAAAAAAAGTCTCAGCTTCCGGCAATTCAAGTACGATGGACATGAAACATGACCTTTTCCTTGGACAGTTGCGCATTGATTGACGTCGCGATTCCAAGATGGCTGCGATGACATCATGCTCGGCTCCTAGTCCATATTACGTTCGTACTTGTTTGTTTTAAAAACCAATGTATTTTATTTTCAGTGCCTGATAAAAAATGCGATTTTATGTTGAAATTGGTTCCAGTTTATAGCCGCAGTAATACATGGTACGGGGCGCCAAGTGAAATATTTATACAGTATACAACACGTGGTATAGATCCGGATGTAGGGGGTTACCCCGGTGGTAGGTACAAACACACCAAGTATCTTCTTTGGTTGGCATTTAGTTAGGGACCTTTCGCATCGGTACAAAAACGAACACCAAAACGAACATATGTACGTTTACATTTTCGTTTTCGTATCTTCTAACACGCGGTTTCGGAATCCGACGTACGATAATATTAATTAGCTAGATGGCGTTAATTTCCACTCCATGAACTTCTCGGTCAAGGCAAAGTTTTCAATCGATTTTTTGGCAGATGTTCAATAAATCAAGCAGAATATTGGATTTGAGCACATTCTACGAACTCTACACAATCAACAATATACACAAAATGATGGAAAATGATGGAAAATTCAATATATGAGACAAGAAACATATTCGTTTCCATACCTACGTAAATCCAGCTCCATACGCGTAACGAATGACGTTTTCGTTTTCGTACCGATGGGAAAGGTCCCTATACAAGGAACAATTTTATGGATACACAGTTACTGAGTTTGATATTAAGCGACGTTTCGACGAGGATACACTCGTCTTTATCAAGCAAATGATAAAGTAAGCTTAGGTTCGTTTTCGGCTATCTTACATTACATCAAGAGACTTTTTAATGACAGCAATAAAATATTCTAATGAGACCGAAATGAAATGGGGCGAGGGGATGGCTTAATGGTTAGCACGTGCGCGCTGTATCATAAGGCCTGTCAGTGAGTCAACTGGCGTGGTTTCGAATCCCCGGTTGTACGTAACAAGGAGTAGGTTCGCCTGTCCAACCTCGTGGGTTTTCTCCGGGTATTCCGGTTTCCTCTCACTGCTAAAGACCCCTAATCGCAAGCGAATTATTGAAATAAAATTGAACCATATGTTAGTCCCGAAATAACATAGTTTGTGTCGACTGGACGTTAAACCCCAATTCTCTCTCCCCGAAATGAAATAGGGTTTAACGTACTAGTTTTCTACACTGATTGGGCTACTGAAGACGGGCATACAGCTTGCTATCAGATAAATTTTCCCCGGTCAGAGGCGCTAAGTACTGCCTACTCTTATTTCGCATTCGAACTGTCAAGGGTTATTTCACATGCACGCAATTGTGTTCGCGGAACTTCGTTTTTTTTTGTTCCCAAACGAATGGCTAGACACTGTCCCTATCAGGTCTTCCGTCCTGCACCACTAACAAGGGGAAACCACGTCGGAAAATCACGATGAACTTTCTTGGCCATTGCAGGGATCGAACATCCGACCTCAAGGCGGGCCCGTAGCCAGTTCTTAAAATTTGGCGGGGCTACGGAATTTTTTGGAGGGGCTGAGGATGTGGCCGGCTAAGAACGCTCCTAAGAAATCATTGTTGTTGGCGAAATATTTGGGGGGGGGGGGGGCTAATTCGATTTTATTTTTTTTGGGGGGGGGGGGGGCGTGGCTACGGGCCCGCCTCCAGGCTAGCGAGCCAGCGTCTTAACCATCTATCCACCGTGGCTCCCTAACACCGAACCATCGAACCTCATGTAACAAATGTTTACTATTTTAATATCTTATATGTTTAGTCTTAAAACAGAAACGGTTCGTTTATCCTTTCAACAACGGATCAGTGGAAGGACAGTAATAAGTGTACATTAGGTTCATTCCATCAGAGTCACATGATAAACCATTGGACTAAAAGATATACGTACATTTCGGTAATAATGATATTTTGTAATTTTTTTATTTTTTTTTTTATTTGCGTTCAGATGACCCTTTAAGGTCGACGATAGGACACACTGTTTGTTTAAACTAGTAACTAATTCCATACATTTGATAGTCGTGATGTTGATGTTTTTATTTTTGGGATGGCGTCCTTTCAAGAAAGCCTAAGGCCCCGTCAAATCGAGTACAATGGACATGTAGCTTGACGTCACTGTTGTTTGGAAAATTGCGATTGGACATCGATTACAATAATATAGGGCCTACTAATAATATTACTAGTATGTCTGTTATCGATTAACGTGCTTCGATTTTTGGATATGACGCCACAATTCCACAATGGCGAGTTTCTAGTTCATATAGTAGGCCTACACTCGTACTTGTTTAGTTTAAGCTTACATAACTAAGAGTCTTAGTCGATATCCACAGTTTCAACCTTTTATAATTTTAGAATTAAAGGAGCTAAATCGTTAATATTTGGGACCTAGAAATTGACACAAATAGGTCGCAACGCATATATTAATGTAGGCTAATATGAATGTATATAAATTGATTTACATTCAATCGTTTCCGTTTTTACTCGAATTTCTAATCAGTTATTTTCGGCGAAATACGCCAGAAGTCTCAATCTAATGGGGGGGGGGGGGGGTAATTAACAGTTGTCGTCTGGAATCTGGGGTTTAACGTCCTGCACCTATCGGGATAATGAAAATGGAAAGCGGCCTATTTGTCTACTCTTCATAGAACTGAAGCTGTTAAGGGTTCTTTTACCTGCACGCAAACGAGTATACAAGTGGACCTCGGTTTTTCCTACAATCCAAACGACTAGGGACTTTTCCTTACGATGTTCCCCGCCCTCTACTACGGTTTTGGGGTGTTGTTTTTATTAAACTGTAAATGGCTATTTGTTTCAGCATTTGTCTGATATCCACCCTCGTGGGTTTTCTCCGGATCCTCCGGTTTCCTCCCACTGCTAAAGACCCCTACGCGCAAGCGCATTATTGTAATAAAATTAAACCATATGTTAGTCCCGAAATGACCTAGTTTGTGTCGAGTGGACGTTAAACCCCATTTCTCTCTCTCTCTCTATTTGTCTGATACGTTTACATAAGTCATTTAGTTTTATTCTGTCAATTACTTTAAATTTCCCATGTAGATTTCGGCTGATTTCCCAAGTAGATTTTGTATAATTTAAAGTAACAGTTTTTATCTAATTTCCTGGGCTATACACTGAAACAATTTTGTATAATTCTATCCGTTAGATTTGTCATAATGTACTTCAGAAATAGATTTTGTATACCGTTCTAGAAATGGATTTTGTATACCGTACCAGAAATAGAATTTGTCAACAATTCCAGAAAGAGGTTTTGTATACCGTACCAGAAATAGAATTTGTCAACAATTCCAGAAATAGATTTTGTATAACGTTCCAGAAATGGATTTTGTATACCGTCCCAGAAAAAGAATTTTAAACAGTTCCAGAAATAGATTTTGTATAACATTCCACAAATAGATTTTGTATAACATTCCACAAATAGATTTTGTATAACATTCCACAAATAGATTTTGTATACATGTACTACTTATGAATTAGGTCGCTGTAGTCTTCTTCTCATTTTAGGTTTGGATATAGTTGTTCAGTGGTTTGATAAAACATCTACACGACTTCCAGAATCGTTATCCTACAGTTTTACACCTACTTTAGTTAACGATTTACAGTGGAGACTGTCAAAGATTGGACATCTTGTTGATCCAGCCAATGTTGTTCTTAATGGCAGTCAATACTTACACGGTAAGTTTTACAGACGATTCAATATCTTCATGGATAAGAAAAAGTTCGAATGCTCCAAGATGTATATAACTTAATGAAAAGCAAATATTATTGGACCCAGTTGAATAAAAATCCATTGAGACTTGAATAAATATTTTATCTCCTGATGTAAATCACATTTCTTTGTTGTTATAGCTACAGTGGCCGGATTTATTTTAAAAATAAGACTGACGTATCGATTTGGGTTACAACAATTATGTTTTGAACAATAACGAAGATTCTTATTTTTTCTGTACTGTAACAAGCGTGCCCCCACCCTTTCCCGTTACATAGATTACAGAGTGCTTCAGCTCTGAACGTAGGTCTCATTACACTCGCCCTGTACTGGGCAACTTTTTACTGCTAAACGGTCGTGTGTCAGTCCCTGTGAACGCCTTACAATGTAAAGGGGCATTTTAGTGAGAAGATAAGGTCTCGCTTACCTCGCTCGAGTCAGTATGTCCGACACAACATGCTGTTAATAATAATAATAATAATAATAATAATCACTTTATTTCAAAAGGGTAGAAAATTAGGCCTGGGGCCTTTCTTACATTTTGCCCTTTTAACAACACCAAACATGCATAAAATCCGGAACAAATGTTTTACATAATGATAATAAATATATTAGATGTGCTGTTTGATAAATGTGAAAATATTTACACTATGAGAGGTATATAGAATTATACATGAACAGTATTTGCTCGAAGATAGGGATGAATACTTTTATACAAAATATATGTACATGGATCAACATGGAAGCTGTTAAAAATTATCTAAACCGAAAGTTTTTCGACAAAGATTCAATAGGACGGTTTCTGAACGTACAGGGCGAATGTAATGAGACCTACGTTCAGAGCTGAACTAATTACAGAGAGGTTGATGGAAATGGGGTTTAACGTCCACGCGACACAAACTGGATGGTTTCGGGACTAACACATGGGCTTTAGCGTTATAATTCGCTTGTGCGTAGGAGTCTTTGGCAGTTAGGGGAAACCAGATGACCCAGAGAAAACCCACGAAGTTGCTGGGCAAGCGATCCCTACTCATTGTGACGTACAAGCTGGGATACGAAACTTGACTCAATGGCAGACCTTATGATCTAAAGCGCACGCGTTAGACTACTCGAACTCCCATTCCCCCTTTCATAGATTCATAATATACAAACTAAATGTAATTAATTTTGAATAATATATTCAGAATTTCGATTCCCAGGTTGTACAAAACAAGGAGTTGGGGTTTTCTCCGGGTCCTCCCTCCGGTTTCCTCCCACTGCTAAATATCCCCTACGAGTAAGCGAATTATTGAAATAAAATTGAACCATATGTTAGTCCCGAAATTAATTAGTTTGTGTCGAGTGGATGTTTACCCCATCTCTCTCTCAAACAAATACCGTGGCTCAGATATTCTACAATTATTTCGAGGAAACCTCGGATTTTTGTAATATTTGTTTCTGTCCCATGGGAAATTGTTCCTTGCGCTAAATCAGCGGTAACCACAACCCTGAACCGAAATCTCCTGGATAGCGACTCACTTCCATACTCAGTAGCACCCTTGAATTTTATCAGCAATTTGGAATATTTCCATGTAAAATTTTATTAGTAATCAGGACAATTTCAGTGTAAAATTTTATTAGCTATTTGGGTCATTTCTGTGTAGAATTTTATTAGCAATCCGGTAAATATCCATGTAGAATTTTATTTAGCAATTCGGAAAATTTCCATGTAGAATATTATCTAGCAATTCGGAAAATTTCCATGTAGAATTTTATTAAGCAATTCGGAAAATTTCCATGTAGAATTTTATTTAGCAATTCGGAAAATTTCCACGTAGAAATTTTATTAGCAATTCGGAAAATTTCTAAATATTGTTTTTCTTTTATTATTTCAGCTGTAGACAATGGTGCGTATTATATTGATGCTAATGGCAACGGTTTACAGTTACTAACACAAGATGTTCCATTGGTATTACTTGCAACTAAAAAGCGATCTCCCTACCCGTTCCCCGTACCCTTAACCCCTATAACGCAACAAGATATAATAGGCCTAGGATTTAATTTTTATAATAATATCTGGGACACCAATTATATTTTATATTACCCCTACCTAACAGGGGATCAAGATTTGAAAAGTCGATTTAAAGTTAATTTCTTTTATAGACAAAAATAAACCAATTTAAGAAATATTTTCTTTTGCATTATGAAATATACTTTATCCTAGGAAAACTTAGATTTGGGGTGGGGTGGGGGGTAGGGGGAAATGAAATCGGGTTTAACGTCCTACAGTTCTGCTCCATTGGGCTAATGAAGACCGGCATACGCCATGCAGTTTGCTATGAGGAAAATTTTGCCCGGACAGCGACGCTATGGCCAACGCGTCTTTCGAATTCCAACAGTCAAGGACTCTTTTGTATGCACATCAATGTGTACATGGGACCTCGGTTTTTCGTTCCATCCGAACGACTATACTTTGTCCCTTGCCAGACCCTCCGTCCTACACAACTGACATGGGGGAACCACGCCCGAAAATCCTGGAGGAACTTTCTCGACCAACTCAGGCATCGAACACGGGACAACAAGGTTAGCGAGAGCCAACGTCTAACTCACTGAGCCACTGAGAGAGAGAGAGAGAGAGAGAGGGTTTATAAAGTCCACTGACCACAACCATATAGTCCATTTTTACTTCAATAATATCATAGGGGTTTTAATCAGTTGGAGGTAACCCAAAGCGACCCTACTCCTCCTACCCATAAGCCGAGATCGAGAGAAATTTAAACGTCCACTCGACACAAACTAGGTCATTTCTAAACTTACCTGGTTCAATTTTATTTCAATAATTCGCTTGCACGTAGGGGTCTTTATTACATGGAGGAAATCGGAGGACCTGCAGAAAACCCACGAGGTTGGACAAGCAACCCTCCCTATTCCTTGACAGTAAAAGCTGAGAATCGAAGCCACACGAGTTGATTCAATGACAGACCTTATGATCTAAAGTACACATGTTAAACCATTCGGCCTTCCAAGGCTTACAACTCAGGTGTTTTTGTATAGTGTGTACCAGGGGCCTGTTTCACGAAATTTTAACTAAGATAAAATCCAAATTTTAGTAATTTGATTGGATAATATTAGATTGATTTAAGTGCTTAGCCAATCAAAATTGAAGTACCTACTAAAATTTGGATTGTATCTTTAGTTAGGATTATGAGAAACCGGGCCCGGGTTGATCTTCCCATCATGTTTGTAATATTTGGATTAATCATGGAAACAAAGGTGGCATAATATGGTTGAGTCGCACACAGAACACAACAGGCAAGAGGCCAGTGCTACCAGTGTCCTTCTGCTTGACTAAAATGGCCCCTAGTGTGTCACTGACTGACATTCTGCTATGCACTGGTTAGGTAATTGGGCATAATAAGTTTTGTGAGTCATGACCTAACGTTATGTAAACAATGTGGAGCTCTGTTTAAACCCAAATGATACTTTTACGCAGTTAGGTATTGGTTGTTAATCGGACTATTGACCAGTCATAATTTGGAACAGAAATTTGCTTTCATTACAACAGTGTTTGAGTGGGATTAGCTCTAATCAAACGAAGCACTGCCGAGAAGTATGTGAGTTCTTGAGACACTGAAACTCTGTTCCATTTCTTTCCTTCAGTGAAATTCAACTAACATATTTAAACAAGAAAAAAAAAGATTTTATTTTTGGGTTTTGATATTCAGTGGTAAATCAATGAAAACATGGACAGAAAATAATTTAACAACAAATATTAACTTTTTCTTAATTTCCCACGACCAAATATAAATCGACATATTCTATCAACTACAAACGCTGCCATAATATCCCCTGCTACTGTCATCAACACTTTATTACGTAGCTGAAATGGATAAAAAAAACTTTCCATTAATTTAGGCTGAAATATTTAAAAAAAAACAGTGGTTACCAGGTAAGATACCCCACATTTTGCAAAAGATGGATAGAGTACAAGCTAAATAAAAAGGTGAAATGCACATATAGTCAAAGGGACTGGGATATTTGGGATATGAAGATATATTTTAAGTATTACATACTTTTACATTATTTGCCTTCAAGGAGCAGCCAATTTTTCGGGAAATTCGAACTCAACCTTTATTAGGGTGTAGCAGTGATACATTTAAACAAATTTTAAAATCGGATGTAAATAGTGACCTCTAGAGTGTCAACAAGCTAAAAACATGATTTTTGGTACAATCAGGGGCCATAATCCATGAAGTTTCGATCCGATGCATGCAAATATAGACAGGAAACGAGATCTTTTGGGGGTAAACCTATACTTCAAGTTTCGTCAAAATCGGATAAGAATTGTGACCTGTAGAGTGTCCACAAACAAATTGTGAATGGACACACGGACGGACGGACAGCGGCGACGACAATATTCGGCGACGACAATATTCGACTGGCCCAAACTAGTACAAAGGGGCTTTAAATTACTATAACAGACAAATTTTCGATTATTGAATATGTGTATTTGAAAAGCTATAAGTTTTGTCTGAACACTATTATTCATAGATTAACCCTTTACCACTTAGTATATGTAAATATTGAGTACCTCAATTCCTTGAAGAAAAGTGATATATTAATACTGGTACATCCCTGGACAGATTGAAACAGTCTAAAACTGCTCTTCCATAGACTGCCTCAAACTGTGGTTGTGACAGGGCTCTTTTGGGCTGGCTAAGGAACCCTAGTTAGGGTAGTTGAGGGCTGTCTAAGGAACCATAGTTAGGGTCGTTTTGGGTTGTCTAAGGAACCATAGTTAGAGTCGTTTTGGGGCTGTCTAAGGAAGTTTGGGGCTGTCTAAGGAACCCTTGGTTTGGGTTAGGTAAGGCAGTTTTGAGCTGTCTAAGGAATCCTAGTTAGGGTAGTTTGGGGGGGGGGGCTGTCTAAGGAACCCTAGTTAGGGTAGTTTGGGGCTGTCTAAGGAACCCTACTTGTGGTTGTTTTGGGGCTATCTAAGGAGCCCTAGTTAGGGTGGTTTGGTGTTGTCTAAGGAATCATAGTTAGGGTCGTTTTGGGTTGTCTAAGGAACCCTAGTTAGGGCTGTTTAAGGCAGTTTGGGCTGTCTAAGGAACCCTAGTTAGGGTAGTTTTGGACTGTCTCAGAAACCCTAGTTAGGGTAGTTTGGGACTGTCTAAGGAACCCTAGTTAGGGTAGTTTGGGACTGTCTAAGGAACCCTAGTTAGGGTAGTTTGGGACTGTCTAAGGAACCCTAGTTAGGGTAGTTTGGGGCTGTCTATGTACTAAAGAGTTAAGATATTTCACACATTAAATGTTTTGTTACTTACATCTTCAGGTAGAGCAACTAATTCAAACTGGTCTGCTAATTCAGGTATAAGACCACTGGCTAAACAGGCCACGGCTCCACCCGATATCATTAAACTATATAATAATGGTTTATTATTCCACAAACTCTCCATAAATGGTTCACCCTAAAAAAAAAAGAATTACATCACATAAAATATAATTGACCTACAAATTTGTTACTGTACTTGCTTGAAAACCTTGAGAGAGTACTATTCACAACGTCGCCTAAATAAATAAATGAAATGAAATGGGGTTTAACATACCTACTGTTTTGCTCCGAACTGGGCTAGTGAAGACGGGCATACACCATACAGTGTGCTATGAGGTAAATTTTCCCCGGTAAGCGGCACTACAGCCTACTTTTATATCGAATTCCAACTGTCAAGGGATCTTTTACGTGCACGCCAATGTGTACACGGGACCTTGGTTTTTCGTCTCATCCGAATGACTAAACAGCTGTCCTTGTCAGACCCTCCGTCCTGCATCACTGACAGGGGGGAACCACGCCGGAAAATCTGGGTGAACTTTCTCGGCAATGCAGGGATCAAACACCTGAATTCCAGGCTAGCGAGCCAGCATCTTACCCACCATGACCCCCCTAAATAAAGAAGTAATTGTTCTTCAATAAGTACGTGTTATAGTTTACTGCTTTATCCAGTTACTACATGATAATGCCTCTAAAAGATTAAACTTCAACAAGCTAATAGTAAGGCTTCACATCCAACTCAAACCCAAAATAAATAGATGGCATTATTCAATTACACCCACATTTATCTTTTTTATAAACCATCTAGCCATTAAATTCCATATTCTGCTTCACCTGAGCAAACTTAGTCAAGGTATTAATGTAATGAAAAATACTCAATTAGAACCGAGGTATAGACCAGGCAATACTTTACTTGTCTGTGCTGTAGGCGTCACCCCTTTCACCAGGAACCAGGCTTAAATCATGAGATTTGAACTCCGGATATTTCAAGACGAGAGAGAGAAATAGGGTTTAATGTCCACTGAACATAAACTAAGCCATTTTTGGAATAAAACATAAAATATGTCCAGCAGATATGTGCGATTGATAGAGAGGGACCATAGTGGATTAAAAACTTGACAGAGAGGGACCATAGTGGATTAAAAACTTACACGATAATTAACAGTGAATGTGGATACTTGTAATTGATTGACAGAGAGGGACCATAGTGGATTAAAAACTTACACGATAATTAACAGCGAATGTAGATACTTGTAATGACATAGATATTATATAAACTGTGGTGTTTAATATACTAGGTTTAAATTTAGCTTCTAGATCAATATGTTCTCCAACTCTGTAAATAAATCAAACAAAACAAGATATGAAATAACATTAGAATTAACAACAGGTGCTCCCTTTAAAAATTTTTTTAGGAAATTATAAAATTTTTAAAATATTAATACTAGTGTTAAACATACATTATGCAAGAGTTAAATCTGCCTATTGCAGGCCTTTCTTTAGGCCTGAAATGTTATCTAAATCATTAATTAGGCATTAATTAACTTATCCAGACCATAATCAACTCCCGATGTCATCGCTAGCCTGCGATATTTACTGGATTAGGATCCGATTAGCTGATCAACTTTCATTCATGATTAAATCATGAAATGGATAATCAAGACTATGTTTTTTCATCGAACAGCTTTAGTAATGATGACCGAGGCTAGCCAGAAAATTCAATCTCTAAATTCTCGGTTCAGAGCGGTTCAGCAAATTGTCTTTACATTATCTAGTTTTTATCTATTATAGTGAGAACTGCCAGCTCTTTATTTAATCTCTCATAATGTATCTTTAATATAAGAAATGTTTGAGCACTATTTATTAATACTACTGTTAATATAAGAAATGTGAGTGTTAATGTAAGGAATTGTGTGAGCACTATTTATTAATACTAGTGTTAATATAAGATATATGAACACGATTTATTAATACTAGTGTTAATATAAGATGTATGAACACAATTTATTAATACTAGTGTTAATATAAGAAATGTGTGAGCACTTTTTATTAATATTAGTGTTCATATAAGATATATGTGAGCACTATTTATTAATATTAGTGTTAATAAAAGATATATGAACATGATTTATGTGTGAGCGCTAATTATTCATGTGAGTGTTAATATATCAAATTGTGTGAGCACTATTTATTAATACTAGTGTTAATATAAGAAATGTGAAAAAGATTTATTAATACTAGTGTTAATATAAGGTGTCTGAACACGATTTATTAATACTAATATAACATATATGAACACGATTTATAAGAAATGTGTGAGCTATATATTAATACTAGTATTTATATAAGAAATGTGTAAGCATTATTTATTAATATTAGTATTAATATAAGAAAACAACCCAACTTATAAGAAATGTGTGAGTACTATTTATTAATACTAGTATTAATATAAGAAAACACCTCAACTTACTTTCTATCAGCAAAGACTAGAGCTTGTTGTACGAGATAAACTAAACTTGTAAAATGTATGGCAAACTGCAGAAACACTGTTAATATTGTATAAATATTAAATATATTAGGTAGAGGGCGCTCTTTTGATAATGACTTTAATGGCTGAAACAAGAAAAAACACAATATGGAACATGTAAAAAAGAAATATTAAAATGTCTTCATTGTATATAGGTTACCATGGACGGTATGAAATTGTAATTTTTTATGCTAACACTTAAAGTCAATCAGAAATTAACAGTAGCCTCTAGATCGTTCACAAGATGCGTCAAGGGCCATAACTTTGGCAGTAATCAAATAGAGTTGGACCGCGAACTGAATAATATTCTAAAGTTTACTGACCTTTGACCTGGATATAAATAGGAAACAGCCTGCTAATAATAAACCCTGCATGGTGGCTTGACCATCGCTAAACTTGATACCATCGAGGTATAAGACACTCTGACTGTATGCTAATATCAACGCATTTAACGCTAATATTTTAAACATCTGTAACGTAGTAACTAGCGTACATCGTCCCTGTTTTATTATGTTACATACTGAAATCATACAAATACATGTCATTTTATTATCCACACTGGCAGGAACAGTGTAGTGTCTAGTCCTTCGGATGGTGCGAACAGCGGAGGTCCTGTGTACCTATTGGCGTGCATATAAATGAAATGAACCCTTGACAGTAGGAATTTGAAATAATAGTAGTCTGTTGCATGGCTTTCCTGGCAAAATTTTCATCATAGTACACTGTATTGTGTATGCCCACCTTCATTCGGCCAGCTAGTTTTAGCGTGTTTTGAATGATATGACAGCGATTATTTGACACAAAACATTCCATTAATTTCATTTCATTGAAGCTCCTTTATTTTTTATGCGAGTATCGATATCAAGAACTGGATATTGATATTTTTCCATAGTCGCCGACGTTTATCGGCTTTATCAATATTTTTCGCCAGCCCTACTTTCAAGAGAGTTTAACGTCCACTCAACACAAACTAGGTCATTTCGGGACTAACATATGGTTCAAGTTTATTTCAACAATTCACTTGCGCATAGGAGTCTTTAGCAGTGTTAGGAAACCGGAGAACCAGAAAAATCCACGAGGTTGGACAGCCTACCCTACTCCTTGTCACGTAGAACCAGAGAATCGAAACCATGCCAGTTGACTCAATGACAGAACTTATGATATAACGCATACATGCTAACCATTCAGCCATCCAACCCCCCATGTTCAGTTTATAATGATATGCTCAGTACACACAATAAAGACGACGCAGCATAATTAAACTTATTTGTATATGACGTACCACTAGCTACAGTTGATAGTTTTGAAGTAAAAGGAGAGGCTACACTTGCATCTCCCAAACGGACAACTTGTGATTTTTCTTCTTCCTCCATCTCTTTTAACATGGCTGCTATTTTTTTCTACAAATAAAAGATATGACTTTCAAGGGACTTCCAAACATTGTCCATTTTCTTTTTTAACCATACATTACGCAAGAGTTAAATCTGCCTATTGCAGGACTTTCATTAGGCCTGAAATGTTATCTAAATTATTAATTAGACATTAATTAACTTATCCAGACCATAATCAACAATCTGGAAAACAATCACTGGTTTACACACATTTGTACTTGATAACGATAAGTGAATACTTGTCGAAACGTCGTGCTATATGTGTATAAACCAGTGATTGTTTTCCATATAAATTGTGTTGTGTTTTTTAATGTGCTCAATCAATAAATGCCACTCAAGAATTATTTTCAGTCATATTTGACGTTACATGAGATAAAATTAGAATTTCAAAGAATTCACGGTGAAATACACTAAATATAGTTAAATTTAACGTTGTTATGTTTACAAATACTTAAAAATATATTTATAACGTCAATCTGATTGAAACACAGATCCTATTTCGTTTCGTTTTTTATAGTTTAAAATTTCGCTTTACTTGTCTTTACTACACTAGGATCTGGAAGAGTTGTTATATAACATGCATTCTAGTTAATGTGAGGAATTAGCCAACAAAACGGTCTGTTCTGGTGACTTATTGGCGTGCTCTGCACGGAACTGTGGGTAAACCCACGCTGATTGATTAATCAATGTCTGACGTCATAGGGACAAAAGCACTCGTATGACCCCTGATGTGACCTTCTAGTACAATTGGTCAGATCTTCATGTAGTGTAGGCCATCGAAAGTATAAAAAAAAAAAAAAACGAAATATAGATCTGTATTTTAATCAGATTGTTACAAATTGGGATAATGTTGAAAAGTGTCATACACGAAACTAACGAAGCACACGCCAAAACTGACAGACTAGAAAAATTGAACTTTATCTAATCCATACATAATATGTGACCCGCTCCCACAAAACCAGGCGCTTGTCACACAACTTCATTTTGTACTACAGGCACAAAAGCATAAACTGTATGCCTTCTTGTTGCTGTGAATGAGCCGAACTCCACTTCAGATGATACAACAAATTTAAAAAGAATTGCATTTCTGGAAAGCTTAGGCTCTGGACTATTCAAAAATGCTGCCAGCTCTATTTTTATAAAAAGGACCAAGAGCCGGGTTTTGTGTTAGCAGCTCACATATGTGTTGAAATATAAAACTAAACATCCATTCTAATTTATAAATTGATGATACAAACCTGTGCTGGTGCTAGATTATCTCCCCTAGCAACGGCTCGTTGTTTTGCTGCTTTACTCATACCCTTTGTTCCTCGTTGATTTAATGTCGTTAATTTATCATTCTTATTGGTTTCTACGTCAACACTTGTACCCTAAAATACAATTCTCCACATGTTATAATGATCAAATATCATTGGGACATACTACAATATACTCAAATTGATTCAGATGGCCGAATGGTTAGCACATGCGCGTTGTATCATAAGGTCTGTTTTTGAGTCAACTGGCGTGGTTTCAATTCCCAGGTTGCACGTGACAAGGGGTAGGGTCGCCAATCCAACGTCATGGTTTTCTCCAGGTCCTCCAGTTTCCTCCCACTGCTGAAGACCCCTACTCATAAAGTTTGTTGGGTTGGATGGCCGAATGGTTGTTCACATGCGCGCTGTGTCATTGAGTCATCTGCCTTGGTTTCGATTCCCCGGTTGTACGTGACAAGGAGTAGTTTCGCTACGGGCCAACCTCGTGGGTTTTCTCCGGTTTCCTCCCACTGCTAAAGACAGCAAGCGAATTATTGAAATAAAATTTTACCATATGGTAGTCCCAAAATGACCTAGTTTGTGTCACGTGGACGTCCTACTGTTCTGCTCAGACTGGGCTAAAGAAGACAGACATACGGCATGCAGCGCGCTATGAGGGAAATTTTGCCCTGATGGCCCACTATTATTTCGAATTCCAACTGCCATGGGATATTTTACATGCACGCCAATGTGTACAAAGGACCTCGGTTTTTCGTACCATCTAAACAACTATACATTGTCCCTTGCAAGGCCATCTGTTCTATACCACTAACTAGGGGAAACGACTCCAGGAAATCCTGATAAACTTTCTGGGATGTCAAACAGTAATTCATAATATGTTTGTACATACTGATGATCCTTTTAGAGATACAACTTTCACAATATTTCAGTTTGCAAGGGATTCTAAATCACTCAAATGAGAGAGAGAGAGAGAGAGAGAGAGAGAGAGAGATGGGGTTTAACATCCACTTGACAGACGTAGGGGGTGTTTAGCAGTGGGAGGAAGCTGGAGAACCCGGAGAAAATCCATGAGGTTGAACAGGCAACCCTACTCCTTGTCACGTCCAACTGGGAATTTGAAACCACGCCAGTTGACTCAATGACAGGCCTTATGAGACAGCGCGCATGTGCTAACCATTCGGCCATTCAACCCTCCCTCTCTAATGACAGACAATCAGTGGCTTTAATAATAATTTTTAACAAACCTCTAATTTTTCTTTCTTTTTTCGTTTATCTGACATTCTTTCTGGTGCGTTGGCTAACAAAGCTACACCTGTCAAAACACAAACATGGAAAATTTACAATTTTTATTTACATCATTTAAATAATGTGCAGGGGAACAGCACAACAAAGCAAAGACAGAACTAACAAGTGAAAACTAGGCTTGAAAAATCCTAGGCCCACATAGATTCAAACTTGTTCTTCAATAGCATCTGTGACTTGATATTTGTGACTATCAATATAACTTCACCTAGTATATAGGCAAGCTGATCCAGGCTCATACAAAGACGACTTGACACAAACTAGGTCATTTCGGGACTAACATATGGTTAAATTTTATTTCAATAATTTGCTTGCATGTAGGGGTCTTTAGCAGTGGGAGGAAACAGGAGGAACCAGAGATAACCCACGAGGATGAACAGGCGACCCAACCCTACTCCTTGTCACGTACAACCCGGGGAATTGAAACCAAGCCAGTTGGGTCAATGACAGGCCTTATGAATAATACAGTGTGCAAGCGCTAACCATTCGGCCATCCAACCCCACTTGTTAAAATGAAAGTGTAAAAATTTATTTTCACTTACCCACATGTGCATGTTTTAAAGCACCAACATCATTAGTACCATCACCACACATTAAAGTTGTGTAGCCATATGATTTTAAAGATGTTATAATAATTTCCTAAAACAAATAATTTCAAATCTTTTATACATTCACATAAAAAAAAAAAAAAAAATGTAACAGTGTTTAATTTCTCAACACCAAACTTTGGTCGTTTGACAATATCATAAAATTCTCACCCCTCACATTGTAAACATAATCACTGAAATGAGAATTTTGCCTGAACAGCAGCGGTTTCAACTGCTCTTTATAAATACAACCTCTGTAAATATGATATTCCTGTAACAAACATTAATTGAATTCTGTCCAAAGTTGTTCGATGTAATTAAAATAATGCCAACATTGATGTTTCTATGACTGCTGGTGCTATTTCTGATATGATTTATCTTATTGACAGAAGTAATGAAAATAAAGAACATCTATTATTAAATTCTAACTGCCAAGGACTCCTTCACATGTAGGCCTACATGTACATGAGTGGACCACATTTTTTCTGAATGAATGAGACTTCCGACTGATTTTGTTGTCACCGGTCATATATTGGGAATATATGACACATATATATTTACCTTTTGTTTAGGTGCTACACGAGCATATATTTTTGTATTGGGTAAAATAGTTTTTAATAATTTAGGATGTTCAGTCTGCAGGTAAATTAAAGCCTGAAAATAAAATACATACATTTATCAATTTATTTATTTAAGCAGGTGGGTTCAGACCACAACTAAAATGATGAGTCAACAAAAAAAATGTTTCATCTTCAGTGTCTTTCATTGATGGCTGGATGGGTTTTTGTTGACAGTGAGGCGATTATAACAATGTAATACCATGACATTACTAATGCTCTGTGGCTGTAGTGTAGAACTTGGTGTATTTTTGGTGAATTCTCCATACTTTTAACACATATCAGCTAATTTTGGCTGTGGTTCTCTGGTTCACCATGGATGGCATGGATTAAATTGTATTGAATCCAAGAACCACATATAAGATAGGCCATGTTTTATTCAACCTATCTAAGTACAGAAGATTCCACATATGGGAGATAACTCCCGAGGACTCTAATAAAGAACAAAGGGGAGAGAACTCTTCCATGAAAGGTGACATTACTATATGACACTACGTAATAATTTATAAGAAACAATTAAGATATTTTGTGCTCACCTCACCAGTCAAACAGAGATCATATTTATCAATAAGTGATTTTCTCAAATTTACAGGTACAGCAGGTACGATAATTTCATCATCTATAGACTGCCAGTGCCAGGAGTTGGCTGAAATAAAACAAAAATAAAATACCTGGATGTTACCTCTTTAAAGGAGCTAAATCGCTAATATTTGGGACCTAGAAATTGACACAAATAATAATGTAATATGAATGCATATAAACGGATTTACATTCAATTGTTTCTGTTTTTACTCTAATTTCTAATCAGTTATGTTCGGCGAAATATATTAGAAGCCTCAATCGAATGGCAATCTCTAGCAACTGGTTATTCCAGTCTAGACCGATAGTGTTTATTGTGCATGCTCTTCAGATAAGAATATGACGTCACCATTTGACATGACTTGTGGAAATATGTCTACAGTCTCATTCTGATTACTAAACTATTTTATTAACTAATAATACAGCGAGGCCAATGCCATGTTCTTTTCCCAACCCTCTAGGCAAAAGTACCTCTTCCCGCCTTGAACATTGCGCATGTACAATTGCATATTTGTAAGTAACGGTAAATATTATGAAAATGATTACAATAAAAGCTAACAACAAAACAATTTACCTAGAGAATTTGGCGAGGTAAGGATCAAGATTTTAGATTTTCCTGATATTTTTAATTCTTTAGAAACATGGCAGGCAGTAAGTGGATTATCACCGGTTATCATAGCAACCTGAAAAATACACAAACAATTTATTACGGTCATTCTGCAATCAATCTGGTTAAAACACAGATCCTATTTCGTTTCGTTTCTATAGTTCAAAATTTCGTTTTACTTGTCTTTACTACTCTTGGATCTGGAAGAGTTGTTATTTAACTCGTGTTCTGAATGGTGTCAGGGATAAGCCAATGAAACAGTCTGTTACGGCGAGCTTTAGGTGTGTTTTGCACGGAACTGTGGGTAATCCACTAGTAACATCAATGCTGATTAGTTAATCAAATGTCTGACGTCATAAGTCATAAGTCATAAGTCGGTCTTTTGACCCCTGACGTGACCTATCGATATAACTGGTCAGATCTTCATGTAGTGTAGGCCATCAAAAGTATAAAAAAAACGAAATGAAATATAGATCTGTATTTTAATCAGATTGATCTGTAATATACATCTACAATTTATTTTGCTCATATTGACACTGAAAGGAGAATCCTGTCATAACAATAAATGGCGATGTAAAATGGGATAAATGTCACACAAATACAATACATTTTGAGACATATGTGAGATGAAAGAGCAGAGAATTCGCTATCCGAGGTTGCCGATAGTCTTCTTCAATTTTTAACTGTCAAGGGTTCTTTATACTCAATCAGTTTCAGTCTCAGCCTGCTCGTCTTTGAATTTCTTTTGCCATACCGACCCGCCGATAATTTGTCGGCGATATCACTCCTGTGGAAGCGGATGTTAAATAAAGCTATTTCAAACACACACACCATTATTCTACGTGGGTAACTCGGCTCTAAGAGTTACTCGCCTGAGACTTGTTCTGTATCTCTGTAGCAACTGGTAATTCGTCTTTCCGTTACTACTACTACTGACACTACTACTACCCCATAAGAGTGTGTGAAATAGCTTTATTTAACGTCTGTTTCCACCAAAGTGATATCGCCAACAATAGACGCATAGCCATTTTATATGTATTTTGAGTTAATGATGACTACTTACGTGATGAGACGCATTTTGTATCTCCTTGACAGAAGATTTGGAATCGTATTTTAATGGACAGGAAATGATAACAAAACCAGCGAATATTAAACTATGTTCTACTTCCTCTCTTGATATTTCACGAACCTAAAATAAAACGGGAATAATTTATTATAAAACAATCAAATAGTAAGGGAAGGAGGAGTCCACCACACATAAAACAATTTTACAAGACACAATATATACAGACACCTTAAACAACAAAGAGAGAGAGAGATGGGGTTTAACATCCACTCGACACAAACTAGGGACTAACACATGGCTCAGTTTTATTTCAATAATTTGCTTGTGCGTAGGGAGCTTTAGCAGTGGGAGGAAACTGGTAGGACCAGGAGAAAACCCATGAGGTTTGACAGGCGACCCTACTCCTTGTCACATACAACTGGGGATTCGAAGCCGTGCCAGTTGGCTCAGTGACAGGCCTTATGATACAGCACGGACGCGCTAACCACTCAGCCATCCAACAACTCCCCAAAATAAATGGAATAACTTGGACCAGATCTTGACTTACATCCCACCATTGCACAGTCCTTATCGTACAGTGAATGTTGTAATATAACAATAACATGAATGCAAATCAACAATAATTACACCATATTGAGATATTTTCTTAAGAAAAGAAGATGAGGTTTGGTCGATTAGAAATCATCATACAATTCGAAAGCAATACATCCGCAAATGGAAACGTAAAGCATGACAGTTCACAAGTTGTTAGTTACCTCTGGATGAGAAAGGGCTCCAAGATGTTTATAACCTAAAGCTAAAACACGCGCTCCTCTCCTCGCCATATCTAGATACACTTGATCATAATCATCCGGTTTATTGGTAAACTGAAAGTAGAATAAAAAACATTAGATCTTCACTACACCATATAAAATTTGAGGTATTTTTAATCCCTTGAAATTGACTAAGTGGGTAAGACGCTGGCTTGTTAGTCTGGAGGTCGCGTGTTTGATCCTTGCATTGGCAAGAAAATTCATCTGGATTTTCCAACATGATTTCCCTTGTATACATTGTCGTGCATATAAAAGATCCCCTGGAAGTTGGAATTTGATATAAGAGTAGGACTTAATGCTGCTGCCTGGGCAAAATTTCCCTCATAGCACACTGTATGAACTAGACAGTGAGAAATGTTAATGACGTCAACGGTACCAGCTTATATTTACCATTGATTACATCACATTTGCATAATTTTCTCTCAAGTGTACATACCATATTTTTAAGGGTTTCGGGAGCTCCTTTAACAGTGCCCATATATTCTGTATTCTGAGATCCTAGAGGAGTGTAACCACAAATAACAGACATACGTTTCAAGGCACTGGCAAAATGAAATCTGTGAAATATCTTTAAACCTTGTGGACCTCGTTTTTGGGGTATGACTGAATCGGCTGAAAAAATAAAAGTTAGAAAAAAATTTAAAATCATACTTGTATGCTAATTGAATCTTAGAATTTCATTTATCATTAAGAGAGAGAGAAATGGGGTTTAACGTCAACTCGAAACAAACTAGGTCATTTCGGGACTAACATATCGCTCAGTTTTATTTCTATAATTCTCTTGCACGTAGGGGTCTTTAGCAGTGGGAGGAAACCGGAGGACCCGGAGAAAACCCACGAGGCTGGACAAGCGACCTTACTCCTTGTCACGTACAACAGGGGATTCGAAACCACGCCAGTTGACTCAATGACAGACCTTATGATACAGCACGCACGTGCTAACCATTCGGCTTGTCCAAGCCCCCAGTTATCATAAGAATGACTTACATAACCCGACCCACAATCAAGGACAAGGGTCGGTAGGTCGAGGGGTTGTTTTTGTAAGATTTTTTTTTTTTAAAAACCAGATAAGTCAACACAACAAATTCATCTTTAATCAGCGACTTTAAAATAAAAAAAAAAATTTGTACCTTTGGTTAAAGTCCACTCCACAGCATTCAATGTAGCTTTCTCTAATGGATCCCCAACAAGTTCATCATCTAACTGTACTAATGAGTGACATGAAGCCATAACTTGTGCTGTTGCTATAGGAACATCTGTTGCTGCTATCATTTCTGCACCACTAGAATTAATATTTTTGGACTAATTCAATAACAAACTCAGAATTTGATAGCACCAACTGGGCTAATAAAGACGTACATACGCTAAATTTTGACAGGACAGCGACATTAGAGCCTACTATAATTTCAAATTTCAAGGTTTTTTTCCCATTTTCTGTACCCTCCAAATGACTAGATACTGTCTTATTGAACTCAAAGTTTATTTGTCAGTATTTTTACACCAGTGAAGTTGGACAAATATGTTTATCTTGATTGTATTTGATATAGCGCTCGATGAATTCAATGGTGCTTTACATGAACAAAATATACACACCTACACATACATAAATTAAATAAACACATAATACAAGTTGTTATTTGCAGAATGAAATAGATATGTTTTTAAAGTCTTCTTAAAACTTTCCAAAGAAGGACACTCTTTGAGATTTGGCGATAGTTTATTCCCCGAGTTTTGGTCCCGCTACAATGAAGGGGGAAAGCTTTTATTTTTTGTTTTTGGAACATGCAAATTATGGGCGCTCTATGATTGGGCGAAATATCGATTCTGGTTGTATTATAAGATCACAAAGGTAATTTGGAGCCTTATTGTTCAAACATTCACACACCATAAATAGCTTTTAGTTCTATTTTTGATGTTGGATCAACCCACCGAAGAATTTTCTAATTAGGATAAGACTACACCCCAATGCCCTTGTAAATCAGGGACGAAACCAATTTGTTTCCACCGAAACAAAAAATGTATTAAATCGGAGAAGCTTCTAAGCAGGAAAACTAGAACTACTATAATATGTGTGTGAAATGTTTCAGAGATCTAGAAACGAAATCAGGACAAAAAGACAGAGCCTTCTTCGATATATCCGTCCCTTGAATTTCAACCGATGTAGATCAAAAAAATCCAAACTTACAAGCCTGGAAATAAGGCACCTGTCACAGACAATGTCAGGCACAGATTCAGGCTTTGTCAGGCACAAAACCTCTGGTGCCTGTCATTTTGTTTGGCACTGATTTGTCTTTTTTATTAATACATGTCCTGACACTAAAGTTGAAAATATCAGGTACTATTTCATTAGTGCCTGACATTTTGTCAGGTGTAAAACCGTTATTTCCAGGCCTGCAAACTTAGATATAAGTCAGGAATTTTTCGCAATAAAAATCTAAAATCTATTTGCAACTAGCCACGATTTATGTATAAGGAAGGATATATTAAAGTATTTGTGAGACTTACTTGAGACCAGTAACGCCCTCTACCACCAGGTTATCACTAGTTAACGTCCCTGTTTTATCAAAACAACAAATATCTACTTTACCAGCAAATGGTATACGGAATGGTTCGGTACAATATACATCTGAAATCAAATATAATAAATGACTCAATATTTAAGTATTTTACACATTTAAATGAAATGAAATGGGGTTTAATGTTCTACACCGACTGGGCTAATGAAAACTGGCATACGCCATACAGTGTGCTATGAGGGGAATTTTGCCCGAACAGCGGCACTACAGGCTACTCTTATATCGAATTCCAACTGTCAAGGGTTCTCTTATATGCATGCCAATGACTAGACAGCTGTCTTTGTCAGGTCCTCCATCCTGCACCATGCTGGAAAATCAAATGGAATTTTCTCGGCCAACAACAGTTTTGAACTTGAAACCTCCCGGCACAAGAGCCAGCATTTAACTCACTGAGAGTGGTGGAATCCGCAGAACCTGGAGAAAAACCACAAGCTTTGGCAGCCAACCCAACTCCGTGTCACATACAAACATGGGAGAGAGAAAGAGAAATGGAGTTTAACATCCACTCGACCCAAACTAGGTCATTTCAGGACTAACATATGGTTTAATTTTATTTCAATAATTCACTTGCCTTTAGGGGTCTTTAGCAGTAGGAGGAAACCGGAGGACCAGGAGACAACCCACGAGGTTGTCAAATAGAACCGGGAAATCGAAACCATGCCAGTTGACTCAATGACAGACCTTATGATACAGAGCGCACATGCTAACCATTCGGCCATCCAACCCCAAAGTATAATATAACAACTTACATAGTTTAGTTAGAGCTAACAGTGATGTATTTACAGCTAGAGATAACTCTATTGGTAATTCTGGTGGTACTACAGACGTTAAAATTAATGTACATTCTAAAAATAACTTGTAGCGATTACGATTTGGATCTTCAGTACCTGAAATGAATTAGAAGTTGATATAAAAAGATTTTATAAAGCGATAACTTGCTGTCTCGTAGTCTTCAATATTCTATTTGGCAAAGCATGTGCTTTAATTTGTCTTGGGAGCAATAGACGTCAACCACTTACACTATCGCCTTCTTCTAGCAGAGTTGTCTTCCCTTGCATTTCACACTGACCTGCAAACTGCTCACTTTAATACGTGAAAATATGAAATGAAATGGGGGTTTAACGTCCTACTGTTCTGCTCAGACTGGGTTAATGAAGACGGGCATATGCCATACAGTGTGCTATGAGTGAAATTTTGCCTGGGCAGCGGCACAACGCCCTACTCTTATATCGAATTCCAACTGCCAAGGGATCTTTTACGTGCATGCCAATGTATACATGGGGCCTTGGTTTTTCATCCAATCTGAACGACTAGACAGCTGTCCTTGTTAGGACCCCCGTCCTGCTCCACTGACAAGAGGAAACCACCTCAGAAAATTCTGATGAACTTTCTCGGCCAATGCAGGGTTCGAACACCCGACCTCCAGACTAGCGTCAGTATGGAGCCAGCATCTTATCCACTTTAGCCACCATTGTACAATATACAATGATAAATAATTGTATGAAAACCAAATAAAAATTGATTTCTTTTATTTGGGGGGCTTTTTTTTAAAATAAAAACATTGCCATTTTGATGGTAAAATAAAAAGTGTTTAAATATAAAAAGGGAACAGTTGTTACACAGAAACTATCAATTCCAGATGTATATATTTATATTAAGATAACTTGTAAATGCCATATATAGTAACGATCTTGTATATGTAAGACCCAGTTGAAAGGTATATAACCACCAGTTTACTGACAGTTAGAGAGACGCAGAGAAGAGAGACGCAGACGAGCGGGGAGGAAAATATCCTTGGTTACCCAGTGTACTCATTCCGTTCTACTCCAATATACCCTGGGTTAATCCATAGGGTTTCCACGATTTCAAATTATCTGACCTGGCCTAGAATGTAGCTACAGTCTACCAACCAATCAGAAAACAGTTTACAAACCAATCGATTCGCCTTCGTTTTTTATAAGGGTAGATAACCATATTAATGTCCATTTACTGAATGATTTATGTAAATAATGTCTATATTTATAATTTATTTATATTTAATTGTATTATCAAAATCTGTAGTATGTTTCGCTGATTTCAAATATGTATAACACCTATATGTTTGAATTTGGTTATTATTATTACTATTCGTTCTTTGTCTGAAATATGTCATTCTGTTATGTTTATTATCATTGGACTTATACTTGGCAATTTGATTCACAATAACTTGTCTACGATATCACGTGGACAAAAAATTCCGGGAATGAACGAACGATTCTAAATAAAACTAATGACCCTACATTATTATATGAACGTCTGGTCTTCATTAACATAATATATAGATTGTTAATAATTACGCATTTAGAATGGGCCAACTCCTAACATTGTCTGATGAGAGTTACTTACCTTTGCCAACTTCCTTTTCAAATAACAATTTATGGGATTGGTCGATAAAAATAGCACAATCCTCAAGGGCGGATAATTTGAAAACGTGTCTCCCCCATAGATTAACCCAGGGTATAGTGGAGTAGAACGGAATGAGTACACTGGGTAACCGAGGATGGGAGGAAAAGACAGAAGCAGAGACCAGCAAGTGGGCTCATTTGGGTTCGGGCGCTACCGAAGCAGAAGGACGAAATGGTTGAAATATAGTCATGTACTATATTAATGTACTGTGTTGATGTTTGATTTATGTTCATGTGTATTTAAGTTCCTGTTCCCGATGTACATAAATAATATATTTACTAAACTGATCTCTGTTATCATTAAGATAGTGTTACAAAATTCAAATAATTCAAATATCCCTTGGACAAAGTTTGTGTTTTGTTTCAACGGTTGCATTTGCATATCCCGTGATTTCTGCAACTTATTATTTATTTATACTCGTTATTATATAAAATATAGCATATCTCACCTTTAATCCAGACGTAAGAAGCGGCTATAATCGCAAACACTAATAAAAACATAATAAAGAAAAACGTTTCAACTGTGTTTGCTGTCATTCTTTTTACACCAAATAAAATAGTTTTCAGTAATTTTCCCTGTGAAGTGTTAAAACTATGACGTAAAACATAAGCTATGCATCCATTATCTGCGGCTAAAAAAACACAAAATGTAAAAGAATTAGTAACACGGATAGAACAAAAAACATGGTCTTAATTGTGAAATTGTAGTTTAATCCAGTAAAAAATGCTTAGCCAATGCATTCTAAAAACTACATGCAAGCCTGGAATAAACAGTTTTAGTTGTTCCTGATAAAATGTTGAAGCAAAAAAGCAATTACTAGCAATCACTGTAACCTGGATATCATTTAATTTTGTGTATTTAGCATTAATTTCTTTCACATTCATTCAATATCAAATCTTTGTTTAAAAACTAGTAAAAATCATTTAAAATTACCAAAAATCATCTATACTGATGTCCAAAAGAAAGTAAACACACTAAAAGTATGACTAAGTTTTGTTTAGATTAAAAACATTTGATAAAGCATTACTGAGTTTGTCTCTTGCGTCCAGACTCAACATTTCTATGCAAAATAAAAATGTAAAACAAATTGACAATATTGATCATCCAGTATAGAGAGGATCAATACGACACGTATACCATGGAAAAACGACTTTGGTTGATGCAGCACAAAATGCACAGTGTATACTTTCTTTTGGACATTAGTATAATTTGTACATGTGTCCAGTGTTTAATTTCCTGATCACTGTTCAAAAATTAATCATTATACATCAATAATCAATTGGGTTGTTTATTTTTTAACAGTGATTGAGAAATTAAACACTTTTAAATTGGACACTCATTATCAAAATTGAATGGTCAGCTCTAACCTGGACACAAGTACAAATTAGATGATTTGGGGTGAATTTTAACGATTTTTCGAGTTTTTAAACAAAGATTTGTTATTGAATGAACGTGAAAGAAATAAGTGATAAATGCACAAGATTAAATGATACCCGGGTTACAGTGAATGCTGTCACGGTTAAAAATTTTTTTTACAATTGCTGATATTTATTGTAGAAATGTAATGAATACCTTTTAAACCTGGCGCTGTTTTATTAGGTGGAGTATGTTGAACTACCTTCGTACCACCAAATAACATATGAAGTTTACCGTCTGATTCTATATCTAAAACATGATCTAGATCTATATTCTCCACAGCTTCCTACAATCAAATCAAATCAAATGGAGTTTAACATCCCACTGTTCTGCTCCGAACTGGGTTAATGAAGACGGGCATACAATGTGCTATGAGGGAAATTTTGCCCAGGCGGCAGGACTACAGCCTACTCTTATATCGAATTCCAAATTCAAGAGATTTTTTACGTGCACACAGGATTTGGATTTTTCATCCCATCCGAACGACTCGACAGTGTGACAGCCTACTCTTATATCGAACTCCAACGGTCAAGGGATCTTTTACGTGCATGCCAATGACTAGACAGCTGTCCTTGTCAGGCCCTCCATCCTGCATCACTGACAAGGGGTAACCACGCCGGAAAATCTGGATGAACTCTCTAGGCCAATGCAAGAATTGAACACCTGACCTCCAAGCTAGCGAGCCAGGGTCTTACCCAATTAGCCACCGTGAATCCCCCCGCCCCCAATCCCCTTTCTACAATCAAATGAACTATTATTAATAAGCAACCAATGGATGAATGAAACCATAAAGATTTGAAAGATTTATTATTTCTAGAAATCTGAATAGTTTAGAAACTGTTGATTTCAAATGATACAAATATTTGAATAGCAATCAAATAATGATTCAAAGTATTCGAATAGCAATCAAATAATGATTCAAAGTATTCGAATAGCAATCAAATAATGACTTAAAATATTCAAATAGCAATCAAATAATGACTCAAAATATTCAAATAGCAATCAAATAATGACTTAAAGTATCTAAATAGCAATCAAGTAATGACTTAAAATATTTGAATAGTAAAATCATTATTTGATGTGATTTACAATGCTGAACAAAAAATGGGATATTTTTTTTTCTCAAATTTTTCATTTTATACCTTGATCCAAACTATTCATGAAGATGAATAATTGCAATACTTTAATTTCAAACAGATTTATTCTATTAAAATTAATTGTTTACCTTCATAACAGGTACTGATTCACCTGTTAACATAGACTCATCTATTATACATGGTCCACGTAACAACAACATATCACATGGTACTATACGATCTTCTTGTGATCTTACTGTAATAAAGAGAGAAATGGGGTTTAACGTCCACTCGACACAAACTAGGTCATTTCGGGACTAACATATGGTTCAATTTTATTTCAATAATTCGCTTGAGTGTAGGGGTCTTTAGCAGTGGGAGAAAACCAGAGGACCCAGAGAAAAACCCACGACAATACTCCTTATCACGTACAACTGGGGATTCGAAACCATGCCAGCTGACTCAGTGAAAGGCCTAAAGATACAGCACGCATATGCTAACCATTCGGCCATCCAACCCCCCTTCACTGTAATATAATATAGCGAAGATTGACACAATAAATCACATCTATTATAGTACAAATGCGAATATTGAAATGTACCATAAAACTTTATTCTCCCGAGGCCAATTAATCCAGATTTGACATATGGTTGAGTCAGATCTATCAATAAATTAAAAATGTCATTATGTATGAGAAAATGTCTACAGTTGCACGGTAATGGAAAATTAAATGAATTGATATGGGGTTTAACGTTATTCTGCACCAAATGAACAAATGAAGACTTGCTTACAACATGCAGAGAGAGAAAGAGAGAGAGAGATGGGATTTAACATCCACTTGAAATAAAACTGAGTCATTATTAGGACTAACATATGGTTCAATTTTATTTCAATAATTCGCTTGAGCGTAGGGGTCTTTAGCAGTGGGAGGAAACCAGAGGACCCAGAGAAAAACCCAGGATGGGTTCTTGTCACGTACAATTGAAACCACGCCAGTTGACCCAATGGCAGACCTTATGATACAACATGCATGTACTAACCAGTCGGCCATCCAGGAAATTTGACCAGACAGCGATACTACGACCTACGCTTTATTCGAAGGGTACTTTTATGTGCAAGCAAATGTGTACGCAGACCTCAGAATTTCTTCTCATCCAGACACTGTTCCTTGCTAAGCCCTCTGTACTGAACCACTGACAAGGAAAACCACACTGGAATTTTCTCTGCCCAAACTATATTTGTTGTAAATAAAATACATGTATTACCTATAGACACAATGTCACCTGGTACCAATTCATCTGTCATCACCTTAATCCATCGTTTATTTCTATACACCTGGAAATAATGGTGTGAAACTACAATATTATTATACGTGTAGTATTATAAAACTGTGTAAAATATAGGAGAGTAGAGACGGAGAGAGACAAATGGGGTTTAACTTCCACAGAGAGAGAAATGAAATGAAATGAGGTTTAACGTCCTACTGTTCTGCTCCGAACTGGGCTAATGAAGACGGACCATACAGTGTGCTATGAGGGAAATTTTGCCCGGACAGCGGCACTACGGCCTACTCTTATATCAAAATCCAACTGTCAAGGGATCTTTTACGTGCACGCCAATATGTACATGAAACCTTGGTTTTCTTCCCTTTCGAACTTGTGAGAGTTGAATGCTAAAAGGAATATCAGTCTGTTAAGTATTTACAAAGATATGATTTGAAAATTTCGCAACTTTCAGCATACTCTGCCGTCAATATAAAAAGGATAAAACAGCTGGGTAAAGATGTTTCAATCAGACTGATTTCAGGACGAGAATTTATCTACCGTTGCTATTCTGATTTTGCTTTCTTTAAAAAATTAATTTCAAACACATTTATGCATTGATCATCAGTCGTTGTTGTTTGTATTTTAGAGGAGAGCCGAAAAAAGCTCTCCTTAATCAACAATTTGAAAAAATCACTCCCCTAAAAAATCTCTCCCAGTTTCGATAAGAAGAGTGATTTAGAAATTAAGGAGAGTGATCTGATATTAAGGAGAGTGATTAGTTGTGTGTATGGGAAATGGTTCTGAAGATAAATAACTGTATGTTACTCCCAGTTTCAAAAAGCAGAGTGATTTAGAAATTAAGGAGAGTGATCTGATATTAAGGAGAGTGATTAGTTGTGTGTATGGGAAATGGTTCTGAAGATCAATAACTGCATGTTAGGGGGTCATTCCTGTTTTCATAAATGATGATAAACTGCCGATGACTTTATAAAGGAGAGTGATTTTCAATTTTAAGGGGAGCTAGAAAAACCTCCCCTTGGTAGACATTCAGGTGCACTGCAGGTGCTCGCCTTAAAGAACCATGACTGGAATATTTCATGAAATATTAGATAATATTTCTAAAAATCACCATTGGAATCAGCGACTTTAAATTGAAAAAAAAAAAAATAATAATAATTCCTGTATTAAAAGGTTACCTGAATAAGATATGGTCGTATTCCCATTTTTCTTATTTCGGCCATGTTACGAAGTTGTTGTTGAACTAACGTTGCCTCAAACGCGATCAACATAAATAATGTAAACACACTGTAATACCAATATTCATCTAAACACCACAAGCCAACACAAAAAACTTGAAAAACAAAAAACGGGGCGGTGGCTCTCTCTCTAAATAATTCTACAAATTGAGGAATGTCCATCTTCATGCTGTCAAAATAAAACAAAAAAAACATCTATCAAATAAAATTCATTTAAAAATCACAGTTTCACTTGTTAAACTATCATGTGAATGTCTTTATCCAGCAATCAATGTATAGGATTGCGGAAAATGTTGGGACCATAGTACGTACAATGGACATATTCTCGTCATGGATAAGAGAAAGAGAGTTTAACGTCCACTCGACACAAACTAGGTCATTTCAGGACTAACATATGGCTCAGTTTTATTTCAATAAATCGCTTGCGCGTACTAGGTGTCTTTAGCAGTGGGAGGAAACCAGAGAAAACCCACAAGGTTGGACAGACGACCCTACTCCTTGTCACGTACAACCAGGGAATCAAAACAACGTCAGTCGACTCAATGACAGACCTTATGATACAGCGCAAACGCCATGGAACACATGAAAAAAATAGCGGCACACTTGGCTAACTATATACGAAAAATATTTTGAATTTTGCAAAATAAAATCATGGCAAGTCTGACGGCATACAACGGTAGACAGAGACTAGTCATAGACAAACTAAATAATGAAAAATACAGCCATGAACTTTTCAACAGACACCAGTGAATACTCAATTGGGATCATGTGGTTTTTTGCATTTTCTTAGTGTGCCGTTCAAAATTCCGTGGCACACTTAGGAAGATCTCACTGGTTGAGAATCACTGTTCTAGCTTGATACTGTAGACTACTTACAGATTTTTTCCATATTTAATTTCTGCTTCTTTGAGTGAATTATCATCCTGGTATCCTTTCCAGTCCATATAATGCTGCATTGATTCATTGATCGGGAAAGAAACTTGTAAAAATGTCTTTTTTTCCTCGTGATCATAAATAAATTTTGTTTTTTGAAAATTGAACCACAGCTCTTCCCCATGGTCAGTCTGGAAAAAAAAAAATAAAATATAGAATTATTTGAAGAAAGTTTCTTAAATATAAGTGAGAGTTATCTTATCATCCACTGTACAATTAAAACCAATTTGATTAAAACACAGATCCAATTTCGTTTCGTTTTTTATAGTTCAAAATTTCGCGTTTTACTTGTCTTTACTACACTAGGATCTGGAAGACTTGTTATCATTGAGGTGTTTTGGATGAGGTGAGGGATTAGCCAATGAAACGGTCTGTTATGACTAGCTTTTGGCATCAGGTGTACGGAAGTGTGGGTGATCCACTAGAAACATCAATGCTGATTGGTTAATAAAATGTCTGAAGTTATAGGGTCAAAAGCTGCTCGTATGATCTCTGACGTGACCTCCCAAAACAACTGGTCAGATCTTCATGTAGAAAACAAAATATAGATTAGTATTTTAATCAGATGGAATGAAAACATTTTATTTCATTTCGGAAAATCTATGGTTATATTGATACAACAAACCGATTTTGCTACCAGGGAATCCTCAAAAATCTTCTGGTTTCCCCATGTCAGTGGTGCAGGACTGAGGACTTGACAAGGACAACTGTCTAGTCATTCGAATGGTACAAAAAACCTAGATCCTGTACACACATTGGCGTTCATGTAAAAGATACCTTGGCAGTTGGAATTGATAAAAGTGTAGGCCATAGCGCTGCTGTCCGGGCCAAATTTCCCTCATAGCACACTGAATGGCATAGTCCCATCTCCATTAGCCCAGTCGGAGTAGAACAGTAGGATGTTAAACCCCATTTCATTTCCTTTTCCTGAAAAATCTCAATCTAATCTAATTAATGATTGTGCTATGATGCGTCCATCTTTATCAACTTCAACTACAGAATTAAGAATGTAAATTAAAGAATCCCCGCTCAATAGTAGCACAATAGACTTGGTAACAGTGAAGATTATTTAATGAATAACGTTTTGGGTTGTGATACCCTTTTTCAAATGATTTAGAAATATAAAAAGGTATAGTAGTTATTGAGCTGACATTCCGAAGTGAGACTTTGCTCACTGACACTTCTCGTATCCAATGTAAATACTACTTTATATTTTACTGATTTTCTCTGCTAGATATGTGAGCTAGGTATGAGTAAAGCAGCAAAACAACGAGTCATCGCCAGGGGAGATAATCTAGCACCAGCACAGGTTTGTATCATCAATTTATAAATTAGAATGGATGTTTAGTTTTATATTTCAACACATATGTGAGCTGCTCGTACAAAACCAGGCTCTTGGTCATTTTTATAAAAATAGAGCTGACAGTATATTTGAATAGTCCACAGCCTAAGCTTTCCAAAAATGCAATTCTTTTTAAATTGGTTGTATTATGGAGTTGAATTCGGCTCATTCACAGCAGCAAGAAGGCATACAGATTATGCTTTTATGCCCGTAGTACAAAATTAAGTTGTGCGACAAGCACCTGGTTTCGTGGGGGGGAGAGAGAGAGAGAGAGAGAGAAATGGGGATTAACATCCACTCGAAACAAACTAGGTCATTTCGGGACTAACACATGATTCAATTTTATTTCAATAATTCGCTTGAGCGTAGGGGTCTTTCGCAGTGGGAGGAAACCGGAGGACCCGGAGAAAACCCACGAGGTTGGACAGGCGACCCTACTTCTTGTCACGTACAACCGGGGATTCGAAGCCCCGCCAGTTGACTTTAAATGACAGACCGTATGATACAGAGCGTGCGTGCTAACCATTCGGCCATCCAACCCCCCCTGGTTTTGTGAGAGTGGGTCACATATATTCAGTCTATAGAATAGAGGTCAAAATCCTGGTTCAAGCAGAAAGCCATGAGGGACAAAATCTCTTATACTCTACCTTACTGAGGTGAAGCTTGACCAATTCTGTGAAGCCATTATTAGGTGTAGGAACAACTTTTACCCAACTGGCTTTAAATGGATCAGATACCTGAAAAATTGATTAAGATGCATGTAAACACAATGATAATTGGTAATGTGTAGATGTAAAGTTTACTATTAGTGAGCGACACAGGAATTCTGAGAATCTATATGTTTAAAATTTGCTTTGAAAAATAAAGCAGACGTCGGCTTAATTTTTTTTATATATTAGTTCCATTTTTGTCTTACTGTTTTGGGTTATCATCAATGGCTTTATATAAAGCCTCAAAAATTAGCAATTAAGACAGAACTTCATCCCATAATCTAGATCAACTTACAAAATATAATGAAATCAACCACTTTCTTCTTGACCCAAATCAAGGAGGTCTTTATTATAGTTATATATGATAATACCAGGTCTGATTGAATCGTTTGTTAAAATAAATTTTCCTTTTTCAGCAATTCGGGAAGTGATACTGATTGATAGTCATCTTTAAATTTATTATAACTTAATGACAAATTTAAATATTTTAAATAAATAAAAGGTGTTCTTCTTTTCTGGAAGGAAAAAATCCGTATTAATTCATTCCACCATTCCATATGTCAACTTATTCTTACCTTGGAACACGTCAAAGCGCACCGGACGTCAATTGACCATAAACAAAACAGTGAAGTCAGAACTTGAAATAAAGCTATGATCGCAAAAGCTATCAAACCTCCTTCAAAATAGTCATCTACACCATAAGCAAATGTCCACGTATATAACCAAGCAGAGTAAATCAAAATAAAAGGTGCTACATAGCCATGAAATATCACTGGCCGAATATTATGGTAGCATAATCGTTGAATTTCTTCGTTTACGGGGGCTGCCATTTTTATTTAGACAGCAAATACTTCCTTTCAGTTGATTGGCTAATAATTTCTAGTAAATATAAAATCTATCAAATTAAAATATTTTTAGCCTCGCTTCAATAAAATGAAGTGTTAAAATTGTAAAGGCCGTAGAAAAAATTGCAGCTTGCCGATTCTAATTATTTTTTTTTGTGTTATTTCATTTTCGTCAAGGTCAAGGTTGGTGCTGTTGTGGGACCGTAATCAATGGTTATATGGGAGATAACTCGTCCATCCCTAGTCAAAATTGAAGTAACAAGATCCTTCTCTTTTGTTTGTTTTAAAAGAATATCACACATTAATAAATATGGCGAATTGTATATGTATGGTTTGTTTTGTTTTTTTTTTGGGGGGGGGGGGTATCTCACCTATGGAAATAAACAATGTATAGGTCTCAGTAACCGGGCACTGGGCAACGGGATAAAATTCAGTTTGGCGAGAAAAATTGGCGGACGATCCTGTCGTTGCTTCCACCAATGAAAGTTAAGAGATCCCGAAATTCAGTTGATGCCGAAGCAAACTTATGCCAATGATGAACAATGGCAGAACACTGGAAAACAAACTGTAGATAATGCAACAATGTACACGGGGTAATCTTGAAATCCATTTTAAAAATACATATACAGAACAAATAGGGTTACTTCGTTCCACTGAACAAATAGGGTTACAATAAAAATGTAATAAATTTAAAACACAAAGCGTAAATTCTTCGCCCACTCTGTACAGCGAAAACCTGCGCCTGCATCCCTTAGGCTACAGTACATTGGCATTGCAAGAAGATTGCATTGTTTTTAATTCCCATTGGAATAATTACATCGTCTAATATAGAATGATTGATGGTATGTTAAACGGTAGATAGGGGTCATAGTATTCATTTCACTTGGTTACAGGGGGTACATGCGTACTGAAAGAATTACCGTAAATAACCGTAAATTCAAACGTTTACATTACAGAAACAGGAAAATGGGAAATTCAATAAGGTCCTGCATTTCTGCACTGGGCTAATGAAGACGGGCATACGCCACACAGTGTTCCATGAGGGAAATTCCGCCCGGACAGCGGCACTATGACTTACTCTTATATCGAATTTCAACTGCCAAGGGATCTTTTACGTGCACACCAAAGTGTAGGCTACACATCACCTCGGTTTTTGGTCCCATCCGAACGACTAGACACTGCCGTTAAACCCCATTTTATTTTACTTCTTAAATCCCTCGGCTCTCCGATGAAAACCTGAATCTCCGCTTATTTTAAAACTTTCGAAATAACCGACGAGACTTTCAAAAAAATTCTCCCTATTTCTTTGTCCATTATTAATGCCATTATTTCTTGGCGTATTTACGGTAAACTAAGAAATGTCAGGAATTGAGAAGACAACGAGATAAAATGTCTGTAGTTTTTACATTCTATTGTAATAATAGTTCCTGGATGCGCGTGATAAGATTTCTCCCTGGAGATGTCGTGTCACGTGCACCTGTCAATCATGGGTATGAACCCAGAAGCTGTTATTGGTTGGCTGAAAAGTAATTTCAAGATTAACCGAATCAGCCTAATGGATCGTCTCTTCTCAGTTAAATGGATAGTTAGCTGTTATTTTGCATCTGACTTTTAAACAAAATGATTTCTCATGTTACATTTTTTAAGTTCTAAGTGATTTTCTAACTATACGCTACATTTTAGAAATTACGCTATTCCGGTGATAGTAACAAATATCGATAAACTCAATAACACTATATTTACGACAATCTGATTAAAACACAGATCCTATTTCGTTTCGTTTTTTATAGTTCAAAATTTCGTTTTATTTGTTTTTACTACACTAGGATCCGGAAGAGCTTCATGTAGTTTAGGCCATCGAAAGTATTAAAAAAAACGAAACGAAATTTGGATCTGTATTTTAATCAGATTGAATTGATCATCGTTGTGACGATGTACGAATGAATTGCCTATAAGCTTTTTGAGGCCGTGGATGAGTCGATGTGACGCCATATAGACCTGGTAAAATACTAAATACATTGTTCATTGCAAGGGGATCCAGGTGGATAAGTGGGTAAGGACAGCTGTCTATAGTCGTTCGGGTTCGGATCTTACGAAAAACCGAGGTCCCGTGTACAAATTGGCGTGCACGTAAACGATCCTTTGACAGGTGGAATTCGATATAAGAGTAGGCCATAGTGGCGCTGTCCGGGCAAAATTCCCCCCATAGCACACTGTATGGTGTATGCCCGTCTTCATTAGCCCAGTTCGGAGCAGAACAGTAGGACGTTAAACCCCATTTTATTTCATTTTCTATTTATTGCAAATACATATATGACAATATGAAAATAACCACCCAGTAATAAGTAAAATTGAAATTAATTTAAAGTATCAATCACTATTATTAGTTTTGAATAATATAATATCCCTATTTATCATACGTTTTGTTTAAAATTTGGCGCAGAAATACAATCTAAACAAACCAGAATTTACTCTAAACAATAATTTTGCGCAGAAATACAATCTAAACAAACCAGAATTTACTCTAAACAATTTTCGACCCCACCTCTCTCTCTCTCTCTCTCTCTCGCACATACACACACACACAAACACACACACCACACAAACCCGCTACAGTAGAAATAAATTACAGTATTTTAATCGGAACCACGTTTCTACGAATATTCTCTTGTCAAGCATAATACAACAATTCCTTTCCATAGAACCGTTGTGTTTATTTTAACGTGTTCAAATACTAAATGCCTTTTTAACAGTACCCGGTACACAAAAAGACCTTTTTCTAACAGGCTACTGCCCTGGTGCATCTGCTTTTAGACTCAGACATCAAGGACTATAAGCTATCATATCTTTGACATTATTAAATGAATCGGCATTCATTGTGACAGATTTGGGCCGAATCTCAACCAACCGGTATATATATGCAGGGATTGTACAAAACAATGTCTTTTCGGCGTTTATATTATAAGGCCCATGCTCAGACTTAAACATCAAGGACTACAAGCTACCATATTTGTTCTTATAGTCTTTGATATTATTAAAAGAATCAGCATTCATTGTCACACATTTGATTAGGGCCGAGTCTCAACCAACCGGCAATTCTCGAACATCATGCAGTGATTGTACAAAACAATGTCTTTTCGGCGTTTTTACTCTTAAGACTGCAGATTGTTGAAATGTCAAACCTTGGGTAATAAAAGAGGGAATAATGAGGAAACACACTTCATTAGTTGATCAAAACACACTTGAAAAAAATGGCTCTTTATGAGAGTTCTAAAAGTCAACAGGCTTTTGAATAAAATAACGCTAAAATGATTGCTAGAGCCAGATGGTCGACTACAGTCAAGTCTGAGAACTCCTGTTAAACCTAGCTGTTTATTACGCGTATATCTTCTATACTGTGGTCATGAAAGGTTTTCAGAATTCATTTTCTCCACGAATTATCATTTTATTTTAAAACAATTTTTAGTCCAACAATTTATTCAAATCAATAATTATTTCACGCCCCCCCCCCCCTCTCCCAACTCCCCATCTATAGATAATAATAATCATGGGGTCTCTTTCCTAAAAAAACCAAACAGTCCTCCATGACGGACTTTATTTAAAGGGCGTATGGCTCTTTTTTTGGGAGCCATAAGTGGATCTAAAAGCATATATTAATGTAATATGAGTGTAAATAAAGTGATTTATATTAATGTTTTTTTAAAGAAATATTGTAATTTCTAATCAATTATGTTCGGTGAAATACGCAAACAGCCCAAACTGACGATAATCGTTTACGCCTTCACGCTTTTTTTATCTGTGTTCATTGGTTTTGCGCCCGAAACACTATGGTACACGAGTCGTGTGCATATTCAAAAACGTTCATTGTGTTTTAAATATTGGATATTAGGAGCCCATATTTTCACGGCAACATGACAATATCAATATGGATTGAAATGGAATAATATTGAATTCTAATTTGTGTTTTTAATTTCGAATATTACAGAAAATATTGAGTTAGAGAGTTATAGTTCCGTTAATACTTGGATGTATTTAATTACACTAACACATCTACAGTTTTTACATTACTTCTGAGATGACAAAAATCAAATGAAATGAAATGGGGTTTAACGTCTTGCTGTTCTACTCCAACTGGGATAATGAAGACGGGATTCTGAGATAACAATGTTACTTTTATCTTAAAGTAATTAGCAAAATGGTCAAAAGAATTCATTCATTTATGCATTCCTTTATTCATTCATTCATTCACGTGCCACTCAACATACGCAAATATTAGTACACGAATATAAATGACGCAAATATACATGACCGCCTCCTCATCCGAAGAAATAAGTTTTGAATTTAACAAGTTTTATAACATATTAGGAACACTAAATAAATAAAAATCTGATATATAAAATCGACAAAGATTCGTGTAAAACACACCCCACCCACCCCTTGACTAAATCAGTTTTTAATTTAAAAAGTAGAAATTATGAATGGTAGTTATAGGCTTCCATAAATAACTATATACATTTGGGACATTGAATGCATACAAATCTGAACATATGACAACAAATATTTCTATCCCCCTGGGGGTTGGATGGCCGAATGGTTAGCACGTGCGCGCTGTACGGTCTGTCATTGAGTCAACTGGCGGGGTTTCGATTTCCCGGTTGTACGTGGCAAGGAGTACTGTCATCTGTCCAATCTCGTGGGGTTTTCCGGGTCCCCCGGTTTCCTCCCACTGATAAATACCCCTACGCGAAAGCGTGTTATTAAAATGAAATTGAACCATGTGTTAGTCTCTCCCTCTCTCTCTCTCTCTCTCTCTATCCCTAAACTAAATCAATTTTGAAATTAACAAACAAATATACACTAGGGACATTTAAATAATAAAAAAAATCTGTTAGATGGAAAAAAAGATTTTTCACCCAGACTAAATCATTTTATAATTTAGTAGGTGTGTATTGGAAACACGCTCCATAAATAATCAAGTGTCACTC